TGCAGGTTTTGGCATGTTCAGGTCTTTTCCCATGTAAGATTGAGAGTATCTTGGTGATGTTTCGACGAGGTTCCACTCTCCATCTTCAGGCTGGTGCTTTCAGCTTCGTGCTTGTGCGAGCAAAGCGTGATTGGAGCTGCCGTGTCTCTATAAATACTGGTGGGGAGGTGTGGTATGCTGGCTCTGTTGTAACTGGGCTGGTTGGCTGTCTTGTTATTTCATGATTAGTTGATGGAGTTGATGTTTGCAGCTTGGTTGGCTTTTTCGTAAGAACCTGTGTGGCTGAGGTACTGGCTGTGTGTCCATCAGCCTGCTGTGTTGTAACGACCTGGGTAATGGGCTGTGTGATGACCTTCTGAGTTCTATTGTTGTGACATCCTGGGTCTTGTACTGTAATCTCCTGGGTCGTTGGCTGTGTTGCAACATCCTGAGGTTTTGCGGTGTAACCTCCTGAGTTCTGTGATGTGATATCCTGAGCGGATGGCTGTGATGTAACATTCCGGGTTTTGGTTTGGCTCCGAGTTTGAGGTCTGGCTATGTGTTTATGGCGTGTGGCAGGCAGGCAGGCAGGCAGCCCTTATCATCAAATGAGTCCCAGCCACGAAAACCAACACCGGACCCAAAACAACACATGACGCCAACACCAATCTCCCTCACCAGACTCAAACCCAAACCCATCCCATAGACAAAAGGCAACCACCATCCAGAAACCAAACCACGGCTGCATCAACAGCTGCCACATACTCCGACCCCCAAACTAAGCAAACTCACACACACACACACACACACACACACACACAGAGCGCTGATGCATCAGATTGAAATGAGGCCTAGTTTAGACTGAGGCCCTTTTCCACATTGAAACATCTTTGCTAGCACATTGAAACCTTTTTGGCGTCTATTAAAGGTTTTGTGGACGAAACATGGTCAAGACTATCAGGAAGCTCTCACATTTTGTTGAAGCTTTAAACAGGATCCATTGGACCAGATCTCCACCCTAAAAAATTACTTTTCCCCAATGTATTACAGTGCCAATTCTGAAGAAGCTAAAACCAAAATGTACTGGTAAATTACAAGGAGACCACACACACATACACACACACACACACACACACACACACACACACGCTCCCTTCTAAACCTACTGGAGCAGGTGATTGAACTAGAATTGATATCTCATTATCTTTTTGCTCCCTCCCTCCTTTATTTATTTCTTTTTCTTTCTGTCCCTTCCTTCCATCCCCCCTTTCTTTGTCTATCCCCTTTTCTTTCTTGCCCTTTTCTCTTTCTTTTCTTCCTTCTCTCTTTCTCTCTCTCTTTCTTTTCTCTGTCTCTCTTTCCCTCTTTCAGGCTCACCCCATTGACTTGGTGCACTGCTCCATTTGGATTTGCTTGGGCAGGTCCCTCCGGTGCAGTGGGCTCAATGGGGTGGACCTGTGGGGCCGGCACCTAGAACGCGGCAGTGGCGGCACGTTTGAAAAGTAGAGCAAAGCCAGAGGTCGGTAATTTTTGCTGCAAAGAATCACAAAAGCTTCTGGGTTGTGCACAAGAAGGGACACACATGTCAATGAAATTCAGCAACATAAAATAAAGAAATACAAATAAAACAAATCAACAAGAATCGGCAAAGCATCTCTGATTAGATTCTATTCACTACTAGAATCTAATCAGAGATGTTTTGCCGATTCTAGTCCAATGACCTGCTCCAGCAGGGTTGGAAGAGAGTATGTGTGTATGTGTGTGCATGGCTGTCAAAACTCCAAAAACAGGTCAAGTAGCTCTGGGGAGGCCAGTCATAAATTAAAACACTTGCTAAACAACCGGCCATTAAGTGAGGACCACTTGTATTTGGATTGCCAGTCACCTGGCCACGCCCACCCAGTCACGACCACCAAACCACACCTACCCAGTCATGTGACCAGCAAGCCATGCACACCCAATCACATGACCAAGCCATGCCCACCCAGTCACGTGACCAGCAAACCACACCCTCAAATTAGGCCACACCCACAGAAATTTGAATCCCACCCCTGGGTGGGGGGCACCGAGGGCGGTGGACTGAAAAAGTTTGGGAACCACTGCACTGGAGAATAGGTTGACTCTTCTGTGTCACAGCCCCTCAAAGATTGGCAGATTGTTATCATGTCATGCCTAGTCCTTCTGTTGGTTAGAATAGACCCACCCACTTCCTGCAATCATTCATCATACACTTTAGCCTCCAGTACCCTAATTATTGCTTTTCTTTGCACACTTTCTAGGGCAGGGGTGTCAAACTGGATTTCTTTAAGGGCCGGATCAGCATTGTAGTTGTCCTCCATGGGCTGCGGGGGGCAGGGCAAGGAATGTGGGGAGGGAAATGGACAGATGCCTCCTGCAGCATCCTGCCGTAAAATGGGCTGGGGATGCACATGTGGCCCTTCCACAGCCCGTTTTGGCTGGCAGAGGCACCATTGACCAGTTCTGTTATATTTCTAGGCTGGCCCCATAGGCCAGATTTAAGTACCCTGCGGGCTGGATTTGGCCCAAGGGCCTTGAGTTTGATACCGCTGTTCTAGAGTGTCAACATCTTTTTTTGTATTGTGATGACCAAAAATAGTTGCAGTATTCCAAGTGAGGTCTTACCAGTGCAATAGAAAACAGTAATAACACTTCGTGTTATCTTGATTTATCCCTCGATTGATGCAGCTTAGGACTGCACTGGCTTTTTGGCATCTGCTACACACTGCTGGCTCATACTTAAGTGGTTGTCTACTAGGGCACCTAAATTCCTCCCTTAATTACTGCTATTAAGCCACATATATCTATTCTGTACCTGTGTATCTGTTTTTTATTGCCTAAGTGTAACCTTAACTTTTCTCACCACTGAATTGCATTTGTTGGATAGGGTCCAGTATTCAGTTGTTTTGGACCTTGAGCCTATGTTCGAAAGTGTTGGCTATTCCCACCAGTTTTGTGCTGTCTGCAAATTTGATGAGCTCCCTTCTATCTCTTATCTAAATTGTTTATAAAGATGTTGAAGAGACTGGACCTAAGACAGACCTTGGGGTACTCCACTGCATGCTTCCTTCCTTTTAGATGTAATTCCATTGAAGACTATGTTGAGTGCAGTTGGTCAGCCAGTTACAAATACATCTGATGGTCTTGCTATTCCATATTTTTCTATCCTACCACGTAGTAGGCTATGATCTACTTTATCAAATCCTTTACTAAGGTCTAAGTAAACTGCATTTGCAGCATTTCCTTAATCCACTAATGTAGACATTTGTCCAAGAATGCAGTGCTTATATTAGCAATAGCACTTATATACTGCTTCACAGTGCTTTACAGCCCTCTCTAAGCGGTTTACAGAATCAACATATTTTCCCCAGCAAACTGGGTCCTCATTTTACCGACCTTGGAAGGATGGAAAGCTGAGTCAACCTTGAACCGGTGAGATTCAAACTGCTAGCAGTCGGCAGTCAGCAGAATTAGCCTGCAATACTGCATTCTAACTAACCACTGTGCTATCACAGCTCTTAATAATTTGTTGTTTCTAGGTGTTCACAGATCCATTGCTTAATTATCTTTTCTAGGTTTGTTGTTGGCTAGTGATTTTTGTGCAGTGTGTAGTAGTATACAGATGGTCCTTGAGTTATGATAGTTCACTTATTGAACATTCAAAATTATGATAGATATATCAAACATACTGTTTCAAAATTACTATGGTCACAGCACCCTGCAGCATTCAATCTTAATAACAGCCATGCAGATGCTGCAGCATCTCCCCCCTCTATCCCCATCCCACCCCGATGGGATCCTGCGGGTCCTGGCTTGTTCTCAATGTTTCCTAGAAGAAGTTGCCATTTTCAGCTCTCTGGCAATTACTTAGGAAATGGTGATTGCTTTTGGAACTTATTTGGAACTGATCAGGTAGTTGTCAGTAGATTGAAAATATCTCCTGGTTCTTGATAGGCTTTGGGAAGTCAGTCCCTGCAAGCAAAGGCAGCAACTTTAGGATGAGCTTTCAGAGTTTTTCTTTTTAATCCCCTCCCTCCCTCTCTCCCTCCCTCTCTCAGAAAGGCACGTTTCTTCAATTAAGAAAACTAAAAAAATGCTGGGAGGCTAAGACTTCTTGATCCCCCTCCCCCATTACGTGTTAAAATCAAATTCCCTGCCTCTCCTCCAATCTCTATTCCTTTTAAAAATCTTACCTTCACTGCAGGTTGAAGAGTAAAGCAAAGGCAGTAAGTAAGCAAAAAAAGCTTCCTGCAGCTTTTTGGCTTTACCTGAAAAAAAAATGCAACTCAAAAAGTTTAATCTTTTAGGAGTCAGCTAGAACTCCTCTAAATGGTTTTTTCTGTTTGTGTCTGCTTTTAGAATCCAGCTAGGACACCAAAGCAAGTCATAGCTGCATTGTAAGAGTAGTATAACAGCAAAAAACTCCAAACACTCAGCTTCTGCTCTATATTCTGCATGTTTTGTGCTCTTGCTGAAATTTTATGAGCTGAATTTCTGCAACTCCTGGAGACAAAAAGCTGTAGGAAGTTTTTGCTTGCTTGCAGTCTCCTGATAACCGTATTCCACTCAAGAATCTGCAAGCTCATTTAATGAATGCGCTGGGAGAACAGGGATGGTTGGTCATTATTTGAGGCAGTTCATTTAATATCTGTTCTGACTTCTGACCCTAATGAGCAGGCTAAATTTTAACTCCAGGACTAACTGTATCTGGAACATCTGTAACATGCTAGTGAAGTTCAGTGACTATTTTTGCCCAACATTAATTTCAACCAACTCAGTAGTTTTTATTTATGAGAGGAGATCCAGAAAATCATTTTGAGGGAGGTTTTGGTATTAGACTTTAAGAAGCCCTGCCATAGACAAATGATTGCAGCAGAACAGTTTATTTATAATCATTGTTAAGTTGCTGGATCAAATATTTTGCATTTAAAAGTGAAAGCGGGGGTGGGAATGGGTAGAAAAAATACCAAATATCAAAACCATTTTAAAAATATTATTTTCAGATTATTTCTCAAGATGAAGCAGACAGAAGAGGGAAGGTCTATGATAAATACATGTGCAGCTTTCTATTCAATTTGAATAATGGTATGTATATTGCTGTCTTCAACCTTCTACTTTATTCAAATTTCTTATCTCAATTATTGGCCACAATACTAATGTTGCTTCCAGTTATCTAATCAGAATTGCTGAGATTTTAGGTTTGAAATGTTTAAGGTTCTTAGCAATGGAAGAAAATGTTTTAATGTTAAATGTTATCAGGAATTGAAAACCTAACAAACAATGATAAAAAGCAGATTAATTTGTAGATGTGAGCAGCAAAGATGACACTTCATGAAAACCAAAGAAGTGTTAATTGACTAAAATACCCAGAATATTTTATATAAAGTATTTAAATAAATATTATGTATGATACTTGATAAACGGAAAGTTATAAGCCAAATCAGTAATTAAAGCATAATAACTCAAATGACAGATAAAGCTTTATTTGCAGAATGAGTTATTTTTTTTCTAAGAATCTTACTATATTTCCTAATTTTCAGGCAGTTGTGAATTTATCTGTTGTTTTTAATTTAGATTTTGTGGTTGATGCAACACGGAAGGGTAACAAAATAAGATTTGCAAACCATTCAGTCAATCCCAACTGCTATGCAAAAGGTAAATATCGATACAGAAGTATATCATACTCATTTTTTAAACTGAAGATTTTTGTAAAATCTTTCCTCAACTTCACTTTTTCTTTTACAGTTATGATGGTTAATGGAGATCATAGAATAGGCATATTCGCTAAGAGAGCCATTCAGACTGGTGAAGAGCTCTTTTTTGATTACAGGTAGGGATAATGCTAAAACCTAAATTGGGGAAATAATATATTTCAGTATGTAAATAATGAGAATACTTATACTAGCTTTTATCAATAAAGAATTGCAAAAAATATATGTAGTCAGAATTATTAATTGTAAGCTCATAAATTATTGGATGTAGGGTAATCAATTTCATTTCTATGGTGTGTTTTTTAAAATACATTTTTTGGGTGACTGGGAACCCTTTATTGTTTTGATTTGGCAAAATATAGAAAGAAGTGTCATGATGCCACCTTAAAGAAAAGTTAAAATTATAATTGTACTTCTTAACGGTTGTAAAGATTGGAAGCCACTATATCTTTAACCCTCTACTTTTCTTTATAAAAAGTAGCTTTTCAAAAGCTTTTTAGATTCATTTTTCTCATTTTATTTTACTTTGCACTATTACTGTTAAATGTTTTTGATAAAACTTATACATACATGTACACACACGTAGTATTCTTAGGTCACTCTGCTTTAAAAATAATTAAATACAACTTATTTATCTTTTTCTAGATATAGTCAGGCTGACGCCCTCAAGTATGTAGGCATTGAAAGAGAAATGGAAATCCCTTGATACCAACTACCTCGCCTATAAAACAGCTGCCTTATCTTCAGGAGTTTCTACTACTGTGGGCAATTTTATTTTTAAAAACTGAATTGATGCAATTTGGAATGCAAAATTTGCAAAGTACTGTACCTGTAATTTATATTGACAGATTTTAAAATCAACTTTTTAATGCCTTTTCACCAGCTGCAACATATTTTGTACCATTGATCTTTTGCAATAATGCAGTGTGGTACACTTTTTGAACCTTGAATAAAGGATACTTGAACTTTGAATTCATATTGTATGTTGCCATCTTTAAATAAAGGCTTGGCTGAATGTATAAATGTAAAAATATTTGAAAGTGTATTTTTTACATGAAAAATCTGCTAAATAATTTTAACAAAATTAACCAAACTTGAATCAAAAATACCTGTGAAAAAATGAATACTTTATTGATCCTATAAAGATCACTTTACCACAAGAGCAGTTTTAGTGTTTGTCCCAATTAATTGCATGCTCACCAAGTCTTTAGACTTTACAGAATCTTATCAACACATGATGTGACAAGGGATTGTTTTTAGAGCCTGACAAGTTTTAGGCTGAGAAGGGGCTGTTGGTCCAAGGTTAGCTACCTGGCTTCTGTGCCTAGCAGAAAAGTAGAACCTGCTTTTTAAGTTCAGTTATTTTAACCATTATATCCTACTGGTACTATTTTTTTTACATCAAGAGCTGTATGTTGTTAAACTTTTTTGTCCTAGTGAACTTTATTCGTCTTTTTACAATGAAGTATAAAAAGGTCTACAAATATAGCATGTGTGCTCACCATGACTGCTTCTGCTCTCCCCTCATTCTTCAACATGCTGTAGAAAAATTCTATACAACAGCAGAAGCTTATCTCTAGTAGCTATCTCTACTTGAACTCAGTGTCTCTCTCTCTGTGTCTGTGTATACACACACATAAGACAGAATCCCTAATAAACCTGCAGATTGCACGCATCAGAACCAATGTTCCCACTAGTTAAATATGAGTGCACGTAATATAACTTCCTGTCACTAAAAGTACTATTCAGCAATAAAGTGCGGATGAAATATTCTTACATGTGGGACACAGGTAGTCCTCATGTTACAAGAGTTCATTTAGTGGCCATTCAAAGTTATAACAGCACTGAAAAAAATGACTTATGACTGTTTTTTATGCTTACAACCATTGCAGCAGTTCCATGGTCATATAATCAAAATTCGGATTTTGCAAATAATGGTTAGTGTCAGAGGGGAAGCCAGATTCACTTAATACTTGTGTTACTAACTTAACTGCAGCGAGTCACTTAACTGTGACAAGAAGGGTGATAAAATTGGGCAAAACTAACTTAGCAAATGTCCCATTTAGCAACAGAAATGTTTGGCTCAATGGTGATTGTAAACTGAGGACTACCTGTACTTATTTTTTCCTTTCCTCTGTTTCAAAGGAAATGGATCAAGACTGATTTGAGCTTTGTGAAGTTTTACTTGTGGTGGCACTAGAGATAATACTGAAAGCAAAACAGTACCCAGATCATCTGGCTTTCATATTCATTGCTCCTTTTATTTACATTTAAGAAAGATAGTCATGTAACTTAACAATAAACCAAATGCAAGTTGTACAGAATTTTTTTATTTATCGCACATTAAAAAATGAAACACACTATACAAATGATTTTTCATAGCAGATTACACATGTGCCCAAATCAGATTCTCTCAAAGTGCTGCCAACGTGTATAAGTGCTGTCTGGGGAAACAGCTCTTCTTTGTATAGCCCAGGGGTCTGCAACCTTAAACAAAGAGACATTGGGACCCATTTCCCACAGAAAACAAAACACCGGGAGTCATGAAATCTGTGGGCAGGGCCAACTCGATGTTACTCTCCCACCTAGTCACATCTGGTCATTAGGGCAGCGAACCGGTTATTAAAAAACACCAGGAATCACAAAACCCTTTTGACATCTCACTCTCCCCCCCTTGTCTCTTCCCCTCTCCCTCTCTCCCCCATCTGTCTCTCCATCTCCCCTCCCACGTCTCTGCCTTTTGATTCCCCCCCCCCGCCATGTGTGTACCTCTTGCTCAGTGTCTCCTCGGAAAGCCGAGGCTTGGCCAAGACTGCGAGCTCTTCTTGGGGCTCTTTGCTACTCCTTAGCAACTTTTTGGAAAACCAGTTGGCTGAGAAATGAGTGTGAGCCATGGCCTTCCTCCCCCTTTCTCTTATGACCCCCTGGCTAGCTGTGGAGGAGCCTGGAGGGTGCGCACCAGTGGGGAGATCCTCAAGCGAGTGGCCACCCACCCCACGCACGCCTTTGCTGTACTTTGGCCAAGCCCAGCTGCTTGCTTGAGGGTTTCCCTGCTCGTGCACACCTTCCTGACCCTGCCACAGCTGGCCAGGGGATTGCAAGAGAAGGGGGGGGTCACCCAAAGGAAGCCTCCGCCATGGCTCGCACTTGTACCTCAGCCAGCCAGGATTTCCAAAAAGTTGGCAAGAAGAAGTAGCGAAGACCAAAAGAGAGGAGAGAGACAGACAGAGATAGAGAGGGGAGGGTAGACTGGTTGACGGGCAAGTGTCTTTGGTGAGGGCACTCTGGCTTTCTCTGAGCCTGACCCCCCAGGGTGGGCATGTGAGGTTCGGCAAGGCCAGCCCCCTTTCCCCACTGCCCTGAGCTTCTTAAAGCTGCGGCTGGGACTGCAGGCCCATCCCCCCTTCCGTTGTCCCCTCCTGGATCCCATTCCCACCCCACCTGCCCTTAGTGAGGCTGGCGTCAGTTGCGGCCGGGTTGGGTGTTTCAGGGCAAAGAGCAGGTTGCACGTCTCCCCAAGACCAACAAGGGCTGGAAGAAGCTACAGCAAAAGTGAGGCGCCTGAGAATCAGCCTCAGCCACTTCTCCATCCCCTGCCATCGCCCTTACCTTCTGAGGCCACGGGAAGAATGACTGGGAGGGGAGGGCGAGGGGTGGGGCCAGCCAGTGGAGCCACAGCAGAATGCCCAAAGAAACGCATGTAGCTTTGGAGTCATGGGTTGCCGATACCCAATATAGCCAATGTATTGATTTATATGCAGTAGCATGCAACCTCCAGTAGAGAAGGTTTCAGATTCCATTCTGTTCTTAAATTAGATTAAATGGCATTGGTGTCCATATTTACAAACTTGAAATGTATCAATCCTGAGCAGGTGTGATGTAATTCTAGGACTGGCAGATGGTAGTCCTGATCTTAATTATAAAAATGGAGGTCCAGACAACAGCAGACTAACAAGTTTTATTCTCTTTCAAACTTGTTACAATTAAAGAGTGCACAGATATCTGCTACAAATTGTTAAGCCAAATAACTGTAGGTGTCCTTTTCACCATCCACCCGCTCCAAGTATTCCTTCTCTATTAGAATATCAATGCACTTCTGAAAATAGAAAAAAAAATATTCTGAGATGTTTTTAACCATTTTTATCCTGTGATTCTCAGTGTTTAACAAGCTTTAACAATGATTTAACTAGGGAAGACATACCACAAAACTTTTCTTAACCTGACATTAAAGAAATGGATATGGGGAAAGGCCAAAAGAAATGGTAACTGCTAATTACTGTTAGTATTAATAGGTAACCATTACCTGTTATTATCAAAAAACTTAAAGAAAACAAAAAGATTCATAAAGTACACATATTGCATCTACAAAATAATTGAATTTATCACCTAATAATGGTAGAGAGGTTTCAAAGGGAATTGAAGTACAAGCATAGCTAAAAAGTTGAGTTTGATTATAAGAAAGTAAGTGTTCTATTCCACACGGTAAGTTTAAACATAAACATGTAACTGAAGTTACTTACATTTTTCTGGATGCTGTTTAACTTATAACTTTCTTCTAATAGCTTAATTTAGTGCAGTGCCACATATTTTCAATACGCTAAAAGTAGAGTTTTCCTGTTAAGTAATCTTCATGCAAATGAGTATATCAATGTTTGGCAAGCTACGACTTCTACCTTGTAGATCAGGGGTGTCATACTTGATTTCATTGAGGGCTGCATCAGGGTTGTGTTTGATCTTGGTGAGCTGGGGTAGGGTGGCCAGCTCAATGTCACTTGTGTAGGGGGTGCCAGTGGCATCCCAAGCACTCTGCCAGTGAAAATGGGCTCTCAAGCTCTGGTTTTGGCTGTGACAGCCTCCTGCAACCCTCTGCCAGTGAAAACAGAGCTTGGGAGGGCCACGCGCAGCCTCCCGACCTTCATTTTCACTGGCAGAGGCACTGCAGGCCAGTCTTTCATTGTTTCCAGGGTGTTCCACAGGGGACCAGATCTTTCATTGTCCCACAGGGCCAGATCTAAGCACCAAATCTAGCGCCCGGGCATTGAATTTGACACCCCTATTCTAGATAATTCTTTGGTTCAAGGGCCACGGCCCAGTGCCAGGCTGGTCCAGAATCAGAATGTGGAAGTGGTGGATGAACACACATGAAGCTGCATTTGTGAAAGTGGTGCACATAAAACTATCCCTTCTCCTTCCCCACCCTGCTGCCACTGCCAGTCTCCAGAGCCAGAAGGTTGAAGACTGTTGCTTTAGACAAACCTTTATTACTGGGACTCGTGGTTTGAATCTTGATGACAGCTGGGTAAGCACTTCTCCAAGCAACTGCTGATGCTTAAGGACTTTTCTCATCTTCATAATCCTTACAATAGCAGCCTAATATACACAACATTTAGAGTTAAAAGTCCAATCCTTGATCAACAAATACTACCAAAGGCTAATAATCATCAAAGGTGTACAGAGATGATTTTTATTTTAAAGATGGATGAATGCTAGCCAGTATATCATTTGATTGTGACAATTTCACAACAAAAATAAACTAGGTTAAATCTTGAGACATTTAAATTAGATTAGATTAGATTCAACTTTATTGTCATTGCCATGGATACAGGCAACAAAATGCAGTTAGCATCCAACCAGAAGTGCAAAACAACAGTAAAATATAAATGTATGTATGCAAATATGCAAGGCATCTATGAATATGTCAATGGAAAACACAACAAAATGTATGTACACGAGTACACAAAGATAAGTGTGACTGCACATATAAGCATATACAACTGTACAAAATGTTTATGGACACACTGAATATAAATACAAATGCACAGAGAATTATACAAAATACATCATATATTATCAAGGGAAGGATCAGCATATGTGTGGGGACAAACGAACTGAGGAGTTCAGCAAGGAAACCGCTGTGTGGTAAAAGCTGTTCCCTAGCCTGCTGGTCTTAGACTGCAGGCACCTGAACCTCCTCCCAGATGGAAGAAGAGTAAACAGTTTGTGGGCTGGATGGAAGGGGTCCTTAACTATGCTGTGGGCTTTACACAGAAATCATTTCCTCTGAATGTCCACAATGGCAGGAAGTGGATTCCCTATAATGCATTGGGCGGTTTTCACCACCCTCTGTAATGCCTTTTTTTCTTTTATAGTGCAATTTCCATACCAAACTGAGATACAGCTGGTTAGGATGCTCTCGACTGTGCAGCGGTAGAAATTAGTCAGAATAGCTGAGGAAAGGTGATTCTTTCTCATACATCCTACATAGATCCTACAAATACATCCTACACAGATATAATAGTTGTCTCTGACTCATATATATCAACCAAGGAATGTAGGGAAAACTGATTTTTTCTGCCAGGACCATTTCTATAAGGATAGAGAATAGCAACTTCGATCAGAATACACATGCAAATGAATTATACAAATGTCAAATTAGGTGCTGCTTTGAGTCAGAGAAACAAAATTCAAATAAATTTTAAAATGGTTTTAAATTGTGTTACTATATTTTTTTTCATTTTCTATAAATGTCCAAGGACAAAGAGATAAAAAGGGGTTCAAAACTGTGTTCTGTTTGCTTTCTTTGTAAGAATCCTTCTTAAAGGATCAGTGAAAGGAACCTCAGGAGCAATAATTACAAATGATATTTATATGACCATGAGGACCCTCTGTGTCTCAAGTAGTCAGCACTCAAATTCAGCGCAGTTGTAAGTTCGAACATGCTGAAAAAGTGGCTGTTCAACGAGTACCACTTATTGTATCTGAAATATATCTCAGATAGCATATATGACAAAAACTAGAGGATCTCAAGAACTAGCCTAAGTAGACCATGATGTATCAATAATCCAAATACCATATGCATAGTCATTTTCATGAAGACAGATTAAATTCTTTCCAAGCAATGAAACCTGTACATAGATCATATTTAGTATATGATTGGGAAATGAAGATTTCAATGGGCAGTTACCACACTGCTAGCAATAAAAACTTACTAACAATAGCATTTACTATTGTGGAAAAAATTATATTTAACAGCATTATTAAATAAGCTGCTAGCCACCGAAAATTCCAGAGTACCTGAATCAGGAGTTTTCTATCTTCCTCTATATTTTTGTGTGTTGTTTCCTGTTCCTGCTTCTGTTCAGTCTTCATTGGCACATTTATATTCACTCGCAATTTTTTGCTGCCAAGAAAATTTAGGCAAATAATTAGTTCTATAAAACAGAAATGAAGACCTACAGAAACCTTATGATGAAACATTAGTGAAAGGCAATATAATTAATCTAACAAAGGCAGGAGTCTTTTTTCTGTTGAATGCTGCATTAGATAATCCATAGTTATATCTTTTCTTATTTCTCAGAAGGCTTAAAATTAATGCTTGCAAACAGGATATCTTAAAATTGGACTGTGACCTATCCATTGTTTAAACTCCCACTCTCTCCTAAGCATCTGGTTAAAAACACAAAATAAACATATCGATCAATAGTTTTACAGATAGTATCTCAATTGCATTTTTCTTAAAATATTGCTCTGTGCAGCCTACATTATGACCAGATTCAACTGAAACAAACATTTCCAACAAGCATATGTACTGATAGCAATCTTTATAGTATCTAGTAAATTAAATTATCATGTTAATTACATAGATAAAAACAGTCATAACCACTGAATAATTTAAAAATACTGCCTTCCGACATATGTTTCAAAAAGTTATTACATATATTCTATTCATCTCTGTTGGTTTGTTGCTATTGAATTGGCCTTAACTCTAACTTAAAGCCTACCTCCAGATTCTCAATTAAAAGGCATCCATCTTTTTACTTGGCTCTAAACTTCCCCGACCATAGATTACCACTCGTGTGCATATATTTTGATTATTGTGATTTTTGTCATAAAAATGGCCTTATCCTTCAGAATCTTATCCCAACTCGTGATCACTTTCCTCTATAATCAACTTTTATAGAGATGATAGAGAAGAATGTTTATTTCTTCAGCACATTATCCATCTTCATTAATGAAGAAACAAAAAGCTTGACTTCTTGGTTCTCAGCAGTAACTTTATTAAGTTTGCAGGTTGATATTTAACAGTATTCCAAATTTTTCCACTTTTACTGTGATAATTTCTACTGTTTATTTTTGGTTGACAAGGACTCTTTTGTATTAGTATATACAAGTTATGTTATATTTAGTGTTTTGACTTATATTTTTTTCTAATCCTGCTAATCTAATATTTAGCATATAAATTAAATTACTATATTTAGTAATTATATTTAGTCTTTAGTAATTATATTTAGTTTTGCTATTTTCAAAACAGAAAAAGTATATAGCTGCTCCCTTCATTTATATATCTTCTGTTATCTGATTGATCTCCTGCCTCTTTATTTTTTCTGAAACCTACCTGTTTAATCTGGCATTTCTCTATCCATACAAGTATATTAAGCAAAATGGTTTGTGAAGAATTTCAATGATTCAGTGACATTTTTTTGTATGTTGGTCAAATTTTTGCAATCTTTATTCATATGAAGCAGTTATAATGAACTGATTTTTCTCCTGAAGTTTTGAACAATCCAATGGGTATTTCAGGTTCATCTCATACGGGTCTCCTATTCTGATTTCAAATTTCAGAATGCGTCCGAGAAGTCCATTTCACTAATCCATACATTATTTTACAATTTATATACATAATTTCTACATTGAGAAGCTATGCAGTTTTAATGTTTGCCTCTTTAGGGAATGTAAAATTTAGCTACTTGGAAACATGATGGGGATTCTAGATATGATTCACAGCTGAAGAACAGCATCACGAGTTGTCAATTTAAACTTTCTTTTTTTAAAAAAAACTTTATTGATTTTACAATTAAAATAAATGAACAAAGACATACGTAACATAGAAAAATAAAGAAAAATTAAAAAACGAATAAAAGACAGTTCCATTATCGATAGTTTGTGGTTCCTTATTTGTATCATTATTGGTGTCATATTTACAATTAAAGCTTAATGCGAATATATAGTTATTACAGTTATAACTTAGCCTCCTTTACAGTTTATTGTTGTTTATTATTATATTATCTATCTTCATTCTATCCAATCATACCTACAGTTCCAACTCTTATAATATTCTGATAATTCTTTGTCTCTAAATGCTAGGGCCAATTTATCCATTTCTGCACAACTTACTATTTTCTGAATAGCCATTTCCTCTGTTGGAATATAAGATTGTTTCCAACATTGTGCAAAGGCCAATCTAGCTGCCGTGAGTATGTGTAATATTATGTATTTGGCTTTTTGGGGAATTGTCTATTAAATATCCCTAGTAAGAAGAATTCTGGTTTGAGTTCAATCTGTTCAGTTGTAATTTCTTTCCTCCAACCATTTTTTAATTCTCCACAATATTTTTGGGCTTCTGTACAGGACCACCACATGTGGTAGAATGTTCCATGTTTCTTTTTGCACTTCCAGCAATTCAGATTCATGTTGGGGAACATCTTTGCTAGTCTCGAAGGAGGGAGATGCCATCTGTAGAACATTTTATAGGCATTTTCTTTGTATGTTGCCGATTTTGTAATTTTATTATTTCTGGTCCAAATCTTTTCCCATTCTATTAAAGTAATGCTGCGTCCTATATTTCTACTCCAAGCTATCATATTACCTTTGACTACTTCCTCCTCTAGTTCTATCTCTAACAGGTAATTATAAAATTTTGTTATTTTTTTCTAGATTCTAGATTTGATTTACAGCTGAAGAACAGCATCACAAGTTGTCAATTTAAACTTTCTAAAAGCCAAAATTTAATTCTAGTCAGTCTCCACTCATTTGAAGTGAGCAAAACTGATACAGAAGTGTAGGGCTTTGGAATAGTATTTTGACAGAAATGCAAACATGTTATTGCAATCATTAATAAATACAGACAGACCTTTTCAGACATTTAATCCACTATCTTAAGAAAACAATTCTAACTAGAATTTCAATTCTGAAATTTTATTCAATTATCTTTCTTACTTTTTGTAGCCAAGGTACAATTTTATTAAAGTATCCAGTTTCAATTCCACTTCATCAACATTTGCATTTTCATCTTCTAAAACCTATGAAAAATCAAAAAGAGCCATGTCAGAACATATTTACAAATTATTTTACCACCCTCCCAAAATAAAAGCACTTACCAACAATTTTGACTTCAACAAAATCTGGAGTACTTGTGCCAAAATATCCTAAAAATCAGAAAAGTTAAAAAAAGTTAATAAATGCCTAATTCGTTCCCTAATTAATATACTTTATGGGTGATAGTGAAGAACATATACAACCAGTGCATTTAGTTTAAAGCTTTTACAACTTATAAGATCATGTGAACAAACTGCATTTAAACAGAAAAAAACTCAGCAGATTGGTTGAACGTAAGTAATATTAAGAAAAGTGAAATTGTGCTATATGATATTTAAAATTTTCTAGACTGAGAAAAAAAACCAAAGATTTTATGAAGGATACTAAAATTCTATTTTACTGTCACTGCCCAAACACCTTTATAATAATTTTTCTGGATGATAGTCATAATTAATGTTTTAAAACTAATATTCAATAATAAAGCCCCAAAATCTCTTTCACACTTAAATTTGAAAGCAAATTTAATGTATTGTTGTGATGGATGAAAAGACTGGAAGAAATATGGAACTTTTATTATTTTTTAAGATTACATCAGTGAGGCAAGATAGTACACAGAGATGAAAGAAATGTAATAGTAACAAAAGCAAAAAATGAATTCAGATATTGGGACTAGTTTGATTATTTTAAGATTTTGTTTCAGTTTATTTTTAAACTGAGATTATCTTTTTAAATCTTGGTTGATAGTGATGGATAAGTATTTTTGAATTAATGACTGAATAACTAAATTTGTTTAAGATAGGAGAAATATTGCACACCCTGTTAGAGTTAATATCAGTTATGTTATGTTTAACTTGGAGTAAGAAATTATTTGATACTATAGTTTTTGTATCTGTACTGAGGAGTCGGATGTCTTTTTAAAAAATTTATTACACTGCCACTTTTTATTTTTTCCTCATTTTTTTTTAACTTTTTCCTCTTTTCTTTCATCCCTTTTCTTTTGTATTTTTAAAAAAATTAATAAAGTTGTTTTAAAAAATTGAAAACTGCTAATTAAGTTTTGTGTTCATTACAATTCTAGACTTAAAGAAATAAATGGATGTAGTAAGTGGAACAATAAGTAATTATAATTATAATAACATGAAATGAAGCTTTACCATTTTTATTTGAGTACTGTCTGTGAGCTGCTGGACTGTGTAGGCATCTTCTGTGTTATATTGCAGCAGGATTGCCATCTGAAATGTAGATGCCTTAAAAAGGCAAGAAATAACTTTTAATTGAATGAATTTCCAAATTAACATGAAGAAATTTGTCAGAGCAAATAGAGCAATATAAAATCTTATCTTTCAGACCAAACAATTCTTTCTGTATTGTTTGCTATTTCATATAAGCTGAAAAATACCTATTAAACAGATTTTGAATAGACAAATCCTGCATGTACAGTGAATGTTTTGAGATTACACAACCAAGAAGAAAGCAAACATGAAAAGACTAAGATCTATGAGTGCTAAATACAGTGTTTTCAGAAAATATGTAGATACCCTTTACTTTTGTCAATTTTGTTATGCTACAGCCTGATTCTAGTTGAAGTTAATTTTTTTCTCATTTAATCTACACTCAGCACTCCATAATAACAAAGTGAAAACATAATTTTAGAATGTATCCATAAATGTATTAAAAAGAAAAAAACCCTGAAATTACTGCCTCAAATATTTTTAAGTATGATGTGACCAGTGGTGGGATGCAAAATTTTTTACTACTGGTTGTGTGGGCGTGACTGGGTGGTCCTGTGACTGTGTGGGCGTAGCCAACTCAACATCACTCACAGCAAGGTGGGGTGGCACCTTGCTAGGAGTGATGTCAAGTTGGCCACGCCTACTCAGTCACATGACTGATGCTGCAGAGACATGGCGATTTTCTACGGACCTTCCCCCACTCCATCTCCATCCTTGGGCTGACAAAATAAAAGCCCATCTAAAGAGTGCAAGGAGTGTGAAGGGAGGCAGGTACTGCGCCTCTGAGGAAAAGAGGAGGTGGCAAAGCCCTGGCTGTTCACCCAGGAGGGACATGCTTGTCGCCCTAGCTACTTTTGCTCTCGACTTCTTCCATGGGGGCTGGGGAGTGACAACGAACAATCAGCAAAGTCTTCCGAAGAGGGAGGCTTAGCGTGAATTAATGGGGGGGGGGGGGGGGGGGGGGGGTGCTTTGTCATGCAGTGGGGATGAAACAACAACTGCTCAGTCTCTTGCCTACAAAAGCGAGGATGAGAGTCTTTCCAAGCAAGCCATAAGCAGCAGCAGAAAAGTCTAAAACTTGGGCACTCTTAAAGTCAATTTTGAAGAGCTGTAAGGCATTTTGTCAGATCGCCGCCAAACTCATCACTGGGAGAGGTTTAGCTCCTGAATACATGAGAAGACTTGGGCAAAGTTTTTCCAAATTTTGGCCAAGACTTCTCCTCCTCCTTGGCCTCAAACATACACACAGAACGAACATGCACACACCTCACAGTGCTGGAGGCATTTGCCCATACACCATCTCCTCGCAGAATGTCCCGGTGCCATGAGATGTGTATGTTTGCTCTGTGTGTATGTTTGAAGCTAAGATGGAGGAGACCATAATTTAGAATAAAATAGAATAACAGAGTTGGAAGGGACCTTGGAGGTCTTCTAGTTCAACTCCCTGCTTACACCACTTCAGACAAATGATTATCCAACATCTTTTTAAAAACTTCCAGTGTTGGAGCATTCACAACTTCTGGAGGCAAGTTGTTCCACTGATTAATTGTTCTAACTGTCAGGAAATTTCTCTTTAGTTCTAGGTTGCTTCTCTCCTTGATTAGTTTCCACCCATTGCTTCTTGTCCTGCCCTCAAGTGCTTTGGAGAATAGCTTGACTCCCTCTTCTTTGTGGCAGCCCCTGAGATATTGGAACACTGCTATCATGTCTCCCCTAATCCTTCTTTTCATTAAACTAGATGTTAGGCATCCAGAAAGTATCCATGATATCAATCACTCCAAGACATTTTCTCTTCAACTGTTTTATTTAGAAACAGATCTAGCATGTCAAAGGCAATTTCCCAAAGTGAAATTATTTTTGCGTGTTACACAGAATCCACCTTCTCTCCTCCCACTTCATAAATCACAAGAACCAATTAACTGCAACTGGAATTTCTTAATACGACATACAGAATAACCTTGAACTTTTCAACTCCTCCACCCCCCTTCCGTGAAATGTGACAGCTGAATTTTAAAGCTGACACACCCAGTTCCTGCAACCATTCTTCATATGTTTTAGCCTCCAGTCCCCTAATCATCTTTTTTGCTCTTCTCTGCACTCTTTCTAGAGTCTCAACATCTTTCTTACATCATGGTGACCAAAGCTGGATTAAGTGTGGCCTTACCAAGGCATTATAAAGTGGTATTAGTACTTCACATGATCTTGATTCTATCCCACTGTTACATAGCCTAGGACTGTGTTGGCTTTTTTGGCAGCTGCTGCACACTGCTGGCTCATATTTAAATGGTTGTTCACTAGGACTCCGAAATCCTTCTCAGTTACTACTATTGAGCAAGGTACCACATATACTGTATTTGTGCATTTGATTTTTCTTGCCTAAATGTAGAACTTTACTTTTTTCATAACTGAATTTCATTTTGTTAGATAGTGTCCAATGTTCAAGTCTGTCAGACGACTTGGCCGAACTAAGTTTTCCTGCCTCAGAAGCTGCTTGGAAGGTAGCCACCACAGCCTGTCCCTTTATGGTTCCCCTCCACTCCACTTGGCTTCAGCGTGCAGAGTGACTGGGACCGGGAGAGTCGAGTCCTTTCCCTTTGGCAGTGGCGGCCCCGCTGGGCTGACTTTGCACAGGGCCAGATGGCAGGCTGCATCTAAGTACCTTAAAGGGACAGGTAGGCCGTAGGAGCTGCCTTTCGAGCAGCTCTGCTGAGAAGGAAGCCAGAAAAGTTCAGCCAAGTCTTCTCCTTCTCAGGCATACACACAGAACGTGCACACATCTCACAGCGCCAGAGGGACTCGCTCACATGCTGTCTCCTCGCAGGAGATGGCCTCATGTGTGCACGCTGTATGTGTATGCCCGAGAAGGAGGAGAAAACTGGGCCAAACTTTTCAGCTTCCCTCTCTTCTGACACACACTGACCAGGCAAGTGTCCAGCATCGCATGGTGCAAGTATCCTCCCAGCCAGCACAGCTATGCAGATTCCTGGCCAGGGGGCAGAGCGTCCTCCTGGCCAGTGTGGCCATGCAACTTCTCAGCTGACATTCAGAGGCAAGCAGGAAGCTGCAGGAAACACAGGAACCTTCGGTAAGTGTAGGAAGCGCTGAGAACAGTGGAAAACTCCAGGAAGGGGCGGGAAGCGGCACTGGAAGCTGGGAATGGTGGAGGGGCAGCTAGCTAGCTGGGCCGCAAGCACATGCGATGGAGCTGCAGTACTGATGGTGAAGCAAGCCAAGCAAGCCCAGGGACAGTAGCGCAGCCCAGGGATGGCAAGCCCAGGGATAGCAGTGCAGCAGCCTAGGCTGGGCCAGGAGTTGGCACTTGAGCGAGGCTTGCTAAGGCGGCAGCAAGTAGGCTGGGTTGAGAATCGACTCAACTGGCTTGCCTGCATGCTCACTCACCCAGGGAGATCAGGGAAGGCAGGTAGCAATGGCGGACGAAGGCAGGTTAGCAATGGCATGGCGGGTGAGATAAGTGACTGGGTGGGGCGGGGCACCAGCCAGAGATGGTATTTGCCGGTTCTCAGAACCAATCAAAATTTCTGCTACCGGTACGTCAGAACTGGTCTGAACCAGTTCAATACCACCTCTGGATGTGACGAGCTTGGCACACTTGGACTGGGGGATTTTCTTACATTCTTCCTTGCCAATTCTCTCAGACTGAATCAGGTTGGATATTGACTATTGGTGGACAGCCATTTTCAGGTCCCTCCAGAAATGTTCAATGGGGTTCAAATCAGGGGTCTGGCTGGGCTACTCTAGGGCATTCAGAGTTGTCCCTAAGCCACTCCTGTATTGCCTTGCCTGTGTTCTTAGGACTGTTGTAATGTTGGAAAGTGAACTTCAGCCCAGTCTGAGGTCCTGGACAAGTTTTCAAACTTGTGGAACAAGTTTTCATTGAAGATATACCTGTACTTTGCTCTATTCAGCTTTCCCTTAACCCTGACCAATCTTCCAGTCCTTGCTTCTGAAAAACAGCAGCACAGCATGATGCTACCATGTTGGGATGACTTTGGGCAGGTGAGTTGAGATATTGGGCAGGTGATGAGCAGTGCCTAGTTTCCTCCAGATATAACATTTAGAATTGAGACCAAACAGTTCAATCTCGATTTCATCAGATCAGAAAATCTTGTTCTTACAGTCTGAGAGTAGTTCAGGTGCTTTTTTGCAAATTCCAAGCAGGCTTTTATGTGTTTTGCACTGAGGAGAAAGTTCTGTGTAGTTACTCTGCCATAAAGTCCAGATCAGTGGAGAGCTGCAGTGAAGTTTTCTGGAACTCCCTTCTCCACACAGGATCTCTGGGAGCTTGTCAGAGTAATCATCAGGTTCTTGGTCACCTCTCTTATAAGGTCCTTCTCAGTTTGACCGGACAACCAGCTCTTGGAAGAGTCAAGGTTGTGCCAAACATCTTCCATCTGAGAATTATAGAGGCCACTATGCTCTTAAGAACCTTCAGCACAACAGAAATTTTGTTGTAATCTTCCCCAGATCTGTGCCTTGCAATAATCCTGCTTCTGAGCTTTGTAGGCAGTTCCTTTGACCTCATGGCTTTTGCTTTGCTACAGTATGCATTGTCAGCTTTGAGGCCTTCTAGGTGTGTGCCTTTCAAAATCATATCCAATCAATTTAATTTACCATAGGTCGACTCCAATCAAAGTGTAGAAACATATCAACAACAATCAAGAGATCTGGGAAGCACTGAGTTAAATTTAAAGGGTTGTTGCAAAGGGTCTGAATATGTATGCCAATGTGATATTTCAGTTTTTTCTTTTTAATAAATTTACAGACATTTCTAAAATTCTGTTTTCACATTATGGGGTACTGGGTGTAGATTAGTGGGCAGAAAAATTAATTTCAACAACTGTAGAATCAGGCTGCATAACAAAATTGATAAAAGTGAAGGGAGTCTGAATACTTTCTGAATGCACTGTATATGCCAACTACCCATTCAAGGGATTTTACCTGAATGGCTTATATACACAATTTAAGCATATATATTTGATTATATGATTACATTATTATGAATATTAATATTACTATATAGAAGCTGCATATTTTGTGTGCTTATTTAAACAAATATATTAGAGGAGGCAAATAACATACCGTATATACTCGAGTATAAGTCGACCCGAATATAAGCCGAGGCACCTAATTTTACACAAAAAAAAACTGGGAAAACTTATTGACTCGAGTATAAGCCGAGGGTGGGAAATGCAGCAGCTACTGGTAAATTTCAAAAATAAAAATAATTAATTTGGGAAACGATCTCACTATCATGAAAGGTTTAATTGATTCACTAACCCAAAAGAAGAAGATGATGATGACAGCGGGAGGCAGGAGTCACTCTCTTCCCCTCCCTCGGAGGCCCCCTGAGTCAGGAGTCACTACCGCCGGCGCGGCCCCAGTCCCGCCGCCTCGGGAAGGGAAAGGCAAAGCGCTTTTTGCCTTTCCCTTCCCGGCTGGGGCTGTTGGGAGTCGCTGCCGCCGGAGGCCGCGACTCCACACCATTTTTTTTTCAGAGGGGAATCTGACTCGAGTATAAGCCGAGGGGGATTTTTTCAGCACAAAAATTGGGCTGAAAAACTAGGCTTATACTCGAGTATATACAGTATATGGACGGGGAGGAGGGGAGTTTTAGAATGTTAATATATAGCATAGGAATGTGTCTACATGGAAGCCATAACATTTATTCCATGTATTATGCCTTTCCCTCCTGCATTTTTCTAAAGTATTATTAAAAGACAGAAATATTAGCAAAATTACCAAATTCAAGATAACTTTTTAACCAAATAAAAAGTTTGGTTTGGCTTGAATAACTTTTTAACCAAACCACAGTGTACTTTACCTGTAGTGTATATCGGTTTTTGAAGCAATTGGTAACCAGTTCGCCTTTGGATAGCTGATACAACCATGTTAATTTTCTGCCACTGTGACGACTTGCATAGAAAGCAGTAAATCTCTGATGACTGCGCTCCAGCTGCATTTCAAATCAAATCAAACCAAACCATATCATATTTACATTTTCAGTCTTCAGCGCATTAGAGAAATGGAGTGAGTAATTGTTGATGTCATTCAACCAGGTTTGTCAAAATATTTTGGTGCCAGTTACTCTACCTGAATATGAACTGGCTATAAAAACACTCAAGCTGGGTATGTACTCTTTTAAGGAGAAACCATGCTATTTACAATAGATTGTACTTTTAATTCCTAAACAAAAACCAGCACTTTGACAGATTTTTTTCCTTCATTCATTGATAATCATACAATCCATTATTGAATCTAGCAAACTCCAGTGTGGCATAATACTAGTTGACATAGATGACAATAAATAGACTGTCATCAGCAAAGTATATAAAAAGTATTAAATGTAACATGAAAATGGGTGTTTCATTCTCAAAAAGCCAGCAATATTGAATGAAGGCCTTAATTGTGTAGCAACTAGACAATTATCATGGGAGCTATAGTATTTATTGGATTTATAATCCAATATAAAAAGTACAAGTTCCATAAATAAGATTTCCAATCAGCAACTAAAACCAGAAGAAAAAAGCTGCACCTCACCTTGTTCCATATTTCCTAAACCTTAGCAGAAGATCACCATCTTGACCACTTTCCAGAAGCTTTTAAGAGGAGACAAGCTATTCCATAAAGTTAGTTCAACTGCAAAGGCAGCTTATTTTTGGACCCATAACCTGCTAGCCTATTCTGGGAGGGAGATCTTCAGCATATTTATCAATCATGTGTATAGGTATATTGTATTAGGATATGTTGACTCTCCAGCTTTTAGGACTGATCAATATATTGCTTCATAGAACTATTCTTGAAACCACACAATCAGCTTAGGCAAGTAGAAAGTACACCTGGAGAATGTCCAAATCATTTCTTTGACTTAACATCAAATAAAGAACACATACAAAAAGTAATCAGTATCATTGGTTTGCTGTGAAAGATAGATTTTTGGGTGACAATGGGTACAAGCAGAAAGAGATTGATAAGACATAATTGGATAATCAGGTATGATTGTTTCAAAGAGACTGCTATCTTATTATGGGCTAATCTACCATTAAAGACCAGCAACAATAAGGGGCAGAATGATCTAAAATGTACTGACTAGAAAAAAAATCCAGAAATGGATAGCTCTCAGAAGTCTTTCTGCACTTGCTCTCAGATCTTATCTGATCCAAAGATATTGGATTCAAAGCATACATATACATAGGATCACAATAGTAAAATATAATTTTAGGATTGCAACAGAAGAACTGTATAAAAGTTATGAAAACTTTGAAGTGAATAAAACTCAAAATACTCATTCCTTTTTAACAAAAAAGGATCCCACCTCTCTCTCTCTTAAAAAAAAAAGACTATAAAGTGTTATGCTGACATCTATTGACAAAATCAATAAATCCTTCAAATAAATCCAACCTACAGTTTACAGGCTATTATGTGATGAGATGGGACTATATAGAGCTCACTGTACTAAAAATACATATGAATGTGTCATAAATTTAAAAAAAATTAAAATAACTTTAAAACATTGCTAGATTTAATGCCTCATCATTCTAATCTGCCACCAGCCTTCCAGAATATTACAATCTCCCTATATCTTACAATATAGACTTAGAAACTAAGATGACCTTACCTCTGATGGGAGAGCAAATGCACAAGACATTTGAAAGGGCCAAGATCCAGAGCTTAGTACTTGTATGCTGAAGTCCACTAGTATAAAAATATGAACAATTAAGTCAATAATTTTATTTCAGTCACTGACCAACAAAACAGATTAATAAACAATTCTTTAGTGAGGAAAAGATATGCTATGCAAAAATGTTATGCAAAAATTAAGAAAAATAAGGAGAGTTTTTTGTTTTCAGAGTTATCATAAAATATATTGGAGAAAACTGCATAGAAATTATTTCAAACACAATAATTGAAGTAAATTACAAATATCATTCAATCAATTAAAATATTAACTGCACAATTCCAATGCATCCTATATTTAAGCTACACATTGATGCTTGCATTGATAAACCTCAGAATTCTAGATCTACAGGCAAAATTGAGAAGAAAAAAGCAACAGAAACAGTGACTTTGGGACAATTGCTATGAAAACTGAACATGTAAAGGTAGTCCTCGACTTACAATAGTTCATTTAGTGACTGTTCAAAGTTACAACTGCATTGGAAAAAGTGATTTATGACTGTTTTTCATTACCACCTTTGTAGGAGCCTCATGATTATGTGATCAAAATTCAGATATTTGGCAACTGATTCATATTTATGACTGTTGCAGCATCCCAGAGTCATGTGATCACTTTTTGCAATCTTCTGACAAGCAGTCAATGGATAAGCCAGATTATCTTAACAACCAGGTTGTTAATTTATCAACTGCAGTGATTTATTTAATAACTATGGTAGCAAATATTATAAAATGGGGCAAGACTCATTTAACAAATTCTCACTTAACAACATAAATTTTAGGTTCAATTGTGGTCATAAATCGAGGACTATCTGGATATCTACACTGTACACAATTCTTAGGCAAGTGAATATTTAGACCATATCATCATTTTTATGTATATTTTCCACCTCTAAGCTGTATAAATGTGAATGCTTATTGGATATAAGCATATCAGGTGATGTATATTTGTGTAATGTGGGAGGGTGTGGCCTAAGGATATCAATACCCTATATCAAGGTGTGCGTAATTATTAGGTAGCTTCTTTTTCTCAGGCAAAATGGACAAAAAAGAAATTCACTAACTCTGAAAAGTCAAAAATGCAGCACTCTTGAAATTGCTGATATTGGGGCGTAGTCACAGAATCATCAAACATTTTGTTGAAAATAGTCAACAGGATCACAAGAAACATGTTGAAAAAAAAGGCACACATTAACTACCAAAGATTTGAAAAGAATCAAATATGAAGCTACCAGGAACCTATAATCCTCCAATGCTGCCATATTCCAGAACTGCAACCTACCTGGAGTGCCCAGAAGTACAAGATATTTAGTGCTCAGAAACATGGCCAAGGTAAGGAAGGCTGAAACCCGATCACCACTGAATAAGACACATAAGTTGAAATGACAAGACTGGGCCAAGAAATATCTGAAGACAGATTTTTCAAAGGTTTTATGGACTGATGAGGTGAGAGTGATCAGATGTATGGGCCCGTGGCTGAATCAGTAATGGATACAGAGTTCCAGTTAAACTCAGTTGCCAGCAAGGTGGAGATGGTATGGGCTAGTATTATTAAAGATAAACTAGCTGGCCCTTTTCAGGTTGTATCAATTCCCAAACCTACTGCCAGTTTTTGGAATATACTTTCTTTAAGCAGTGGTACAGGAAATCTTTCAAGAAGACCATAACGTTTATGCTTCGCATGCATTGAAGTACTGAGGTCAGGAAAGGCCTTAAAAATGAAAGAACCATGACATGGCCCTCTTCCTCACCTGACCTATTGAGAACTTGTGGGCCCTTCTTAAATGGGAATTTTACAGTGACAACTCTTTGAACAGTGTCTGGGAAGCTGTGGTTGCTGCTGCACAAAAAATTGATCATTAAGATAAAAAACTGACAGACTCCATGAATGGAAAGCTTATGACTGTTATTGAAAAGAAGGGTGTCTATATTGGTTTTTTTTTGTTTTGAAATGTCAAAAATGTTTATTTGTAAATTTTGAGTTGTTTATTATTCTCCCTTTAACAGATAAAAACGAACGAATAAGATGGGGAGATTTTCGTTTTTCATTTAGTTGCATAATACATCTACACACTAATAGTTGCCCAATAATTATGCACACATATTCTCCTAAGAAAGCCAAAATCTCACTTTTACTTTCTTAAATATTCAGGATTGAGGTTCATTAACATGTTGGATTGACCAAGTGCATTATACACTGCTCACAAAAATAACGGGAACACTTAAACACAATGTAACTCCAAGTCAATCACACTTGTATGAAATCAAACTGTCCACTTAGGTAGCAACACTGATTGACAATCAATTTCACATGCTGTTGTGAAAATGGAATAGACAACAGGTAGAAAGCATAGGCAGTTAACAAGACATCCCCAATAAAGGAGTGGTTCTACAGGTGGTGACCACAGACCACTTCTCAGTTCCTATGCTTTCTGGCTGATGGTTTGGTCACTTTTGAATGCTGGCGGTGCTTTCACTCTAGTGGTAGCATGAGACGGAGTCTATAACCCACATAAGTGGCTCAGGTAGTGCAGCTCATCCAGGATGGCACATCAATGCGAGCTGTGGCAAGAAGGTTTGCTGTGTCTATCAGTGTAGTGTCCAGAGCATGGAGGCACTACCAGGAGACATGGAGGAGGCCGGAGGAGGGTAACAACCCAGCATCAGGACTGCTACCTCCGCCTTTGTGCAAGGAAGGACAGGAGGAGCACTGCCAGAGCCCTGCAAAATGACCTCCAGTGGGCCCCATATGTGCATGTGGCTGCTCAAACGGTCAGAAACAGACTTAATGAGGGTGGTATGAGGGCCCAACGTCCAAAGATGGGGGTTGTGCTTATAGCCCAACACCATGCAGGACATTTGGCATTTGCCAGAGAACACCAAGATTGGCAAATTCGCCCTGTGCTCTTAACAGATGAAAGCAGGTTCACATTGAGCATATACGACAGACGTGACAGGGTCTGGAGACACTGTGGAGAACGTTCTGCTGCCTGCAACATCCTCCAGCATGACCGGTTTGGCAGTAAGTGGGTCAGTTATGGTGTGGGGTGGCATTTCTTTAAGGGGCCACAGAGGTGTCCATGTGCTCGTCAGAGGTAGCCTGATTGCCATTAGGTACCGAGCTGGCATCCTCAGACCCCTTGTGAGACCATATGCTGGTGCGGTTGGCCCTGGGTTCCTCCGAATGCAAGACCTCATGTGGCTGGAGTGTGTTAGCAGTTGGATCAGCCTGTAGTTTTTTTTTCCAGTTTAATTTTGAGTGTAACTCCATATCCAGACCTCCACGGGTTGCTAAATTTGATTTCCATTGATAATTTTTGTGTGATTTTGTTGTCAGCACATTCAACTATATAATGAATAAAGTATTTAATAAGAATATTTCATTCATTCACATCTAGGATGTCTTATTTTTGTGTTCCCTTTATTTTTTTGAGCAGTGTAGTTGTTCAATAATAAAATTAATCCTCAAAATTACAACTTGCCTAATAATTGTGCATATAGTTCTAAAAGCTGAGCTTGGCTGGAGAGAGTTATTATCCTTTTTGTTGGCATTTGCTAGATATCTGAGATTTCCTAACTGGAGGCCAGGTGTAAAACAATTTAGAATTAATTGACTTCTAAGTTAAAATTCAATCCTAAGTATCAGAACAGTGCTGCACATAAAAGTCCATATTTGGATTTTAATCTCTCCCCACAGCCCAAACTTTTTTGTTTTTCTCTGCAGTATAATTATTGACAAGACAATTTCCAAAAAATTAAGTTAGGATCTCTTGTAGTTCAAAGTTCACCTAAAGTTACATAACATCTTGTTTTATAGAATGAAAATTTGCGATCCTTTTTTTTATCCTTTTCACTGCTTGCGGTATTAGCTCTCTCCTGGAACCTTTCTTAGATTGACCCATTTTTAACAAATTTTCTTTCCCCATGCCCACTTTGTTCCCTTCTTATTTTGTTTTTGGAGAGAAAGATAGAATTTTAAATTCATTTATATAATTTACGTCCAATATCAGGTTGATTTGTAAGGAATAGAAAAAGAAAACTTCTTTCATTAACATACTATTTACTTTCATCAATCTATAAAAATGTATATTAATTAAAATTTTAAAATTACATTAATTACATTAAAATACATTTTAACTTTGCTTACAATCCAATGGCTCTGAATTGGATAGGTGCTTTTTGAACTGCTCATTCAGGTCTTTGCTTACACCTATATCTTGGAACATCCTTTGAAGTTTGGATGTGTACTCAAAGCCACAAGCTTGCTGTAATGAATCACAGAACAATTATGAAATTACACATTTTGAGATAAAATAATGCACATTCTACAGAAAGAACTGTCAGTAAGTCCTCTAATACAATGTAACCATTGTAATACTTAATTAGAGCTTCAGTATCAAAATAAACAAATTGAATTTTCTAGCAATTTTATTATTTTTAGCATCTGAGTGCAGAAAATTTCCAGCCTTGATCTGCACACTGTCAGATTTTAATTTATCATTTAATTTTTACCATGGTATACAAATTCTTTTACTGCAGCTTGCAATTCCTTATAAAACGGTCCACTTTAACTTACTATAATTATTGGATTATTTAAAATAATAGATTTATGGAGGAATTACAACCAAAGCTCCATAAAAACAATTATTTTAAATCACCTGTTCACTTGTGGTAATTTAAAACCTCACTAAAAACAAAAAAGGTAATCAAATGGTTGTTGTTTACTCTCTCTTTCATAAGCATGTAAACATATGCACTCTTAAATTGTGTGCATGAGAGGCCAACACACATTTGGAAAAAAGGTTTTAGAATCAATGCTCAAAAATGTTTTAAAGTTCTGCTTAAGAGATTTTTGAGAACTGATGATAGTCCCAAACTGATTTAAATAGATTAATATTCATGTTCCATATATAGCTGCTCTGAATAAAAAACAAAACAGAACAAAAACCTAGATTCTCAAATTCTGGTGTAATAATTTGATTACATGATTTCATGTGAACAAATAACTATTTCTGTACAGTGCAAAACTATCCAGCTTTCCAACATACCATTAAAAATCCAAATATATCAAGATAAAAAATTATTTAGCCTACCATAGGAATACTTGAAAATACTTGAAAATAAATGTTTATTATGAACAATAATAAACAATTTTGAATCAATTTCTTGTATTGGGATATAGATTAAACATGAAAAACTATTCTATATAGGTAATCCTTGAGTTATTAAATGGAGCCTGCCAATTACATTTGTAATCCAATGAATAATGTTAAATGAACATGAAAATTCCCTGTCGTTGCATATCCATTCGCTAATCAAATGCGTGGATCTTAAGTGCACAAGGTATCTTAAGGTGGGAAAGAGCGGCGGGGGGGCTAGTATTTCCAAACACCCAAGGCTGCCCCTAACCCACTGATATATCTCATGGTTCCCCCGCCCCAAATCCTGGCCAACCGGGTCCACTTACCTTTTGAAGATATCGATGAGCTGTCTGCTTTCCAGCTTCTCTGCCATGGTTTCACTTTGAGAAAAGGCTTGCTGAAGCCTAGAGGGTGACTGTGTCCCTCTATGCTCCAATCGTCTTTGCAAAAAACCCTTGCTGCCAAAAATGCAGTCGCACCAAAAACGGAGCCCAGGAGGAATGCAGCAGGGGCTGTTTTTGGTTTTGCAAAGACTAGGCTCCAATCAACTTTGCAAAAAGCCCTTGAAGATGAAAACGGAGTCCGGGAGTGACAAGGCAGCAGTTCCATTTTCAGTAGCAAGGGCTTTTTGCAAAGATGATCGGAACCTTGCAAAAAGCCCTTGCCACCAAAAACGGAGCTACTGCTGTGTCCCTCCTAAGCTCTGTTTTTGGTGCAGCTCCATTTCCAGTGGCAAGGGCTTTTTGCAAAGACAATAGGAGCCTAGAGAGAGATTACATCTCCTTAAGCTCTGATCGCCTTTGCAAAAAACCCTTGCCGCCATAAACAGAGCCCGGGAGGGACCAGTCTGTCCTCCCCGGGCTCTGTTCTTGCTGGCAAAGGCATTTTGCAAAGATGACCGGAGCCTACAGAGATGCAATTTCTCTGTAGGTTTTGATAAGCCTTTGCAAAAAGCCCTTGTCAGCAAGAACAGAGCCCGGGAGGGACGCACCGGCCTCTCCCATTCTTGCCGGCAAAGGCTTTTTGCAAAGATAACCAGAGTCTACAGGGACGCAATCTCTCACCCCTGCAAGGAAATGGCAAACGGAGGGAAGGCCTGAAGCTTTCCCTCTGTTTGCAAAGCCTTTTGCTGCATTTCATCCAGACCTCAATCTGAAGAGAAAAGGGGCCTAAAGTAGTAAGAGATCATGCAAGATCAATAGCATGAGATCTCACACTATTGATCTTGCACTACTTTAGGCCTCTGTTCTCTGCGAAGGCACCAAACGCCTGAAGCAGGCAAAGAAACCAAAAGCTTGCTAGATCTTCGCAAGGTGAGTCTCCCCAGGCCCTGTGCCTGTGGAGACCCAGTAGGGGGAGGGGGATAATAAGCAGGGCGAATGTTTCAGTGCCTCTGTGGTCATTCCTAAGGGTGAATGACTTGTTATGGTGCTGCAACATTCGTAACTTTGGGACAGTGTTTAAGTACTTGGGAGGGTTATGTTGTAACTTCGAATGGTCATTAAGTGAACTGTTGTATCTCGAGGATTACCTGTAATAAACAAAAGAAAATCATTTTAAATATGATATTCATTTAATTACCATATTTATTTAGATATTTTCAATCAATACATATATGTTTTTATACTTTATGAGTATCATCATACAGTGAAGTTATGCAAATATAAGCAATAAAAGATACATAAGAGAAACACACCTTCAATTTGGAGATCATACTTGCTTCAGCATCATCACTAGCACTATTCTGGTGTACTAGCCTCTTTGCCAGCATTTTGGCATAGAATTTTTGAAACACATCTTTGTCTTCAATATATTTGAAGACCACCATCTAGAAGAAGCATGGATTTTTAGAATTTATTTTTAGAACAAGAAACAAGGAGGATTCATGGCGTATTATATTATCCTATTTAGTCCACTTCCAATTATCATTGTAAATCAATTTCCAAAATTATACATAATTATGTATACATAATTATACATAAACTTACCACTTGGTTAAGTGTGTCTTCAAGTTCAGCCTCCTCTGGATTCTTTGAGCTGCAATCAAAAGGGCATTAAAATTGTTATGATCCAGCAAGCCCATTATTTCAACTTCATATCTACTATAACAGCCATTTTGTAAATAAATAAGACCTCCATTGCATTATTTTATAAGAGCAAATTTTTCCAGAATTAAATTTGTGGTCACCAACAAAATGTTTTCTTACTTTGATTTAAAAACAGAAAAAGTCATTGCACTCCTTTGATTCTTAATAAATTGCGCTCAAGCCCAAAAATATAAAAATATTTTAGTTTGCCAGTTAGAGGAAATGGTTAAGGTACTGGTTAGAAACCAGGAGATTGTGGATTCTACTTTCTTCTTAAGAATGAAAGCTGGCTGGGTGACTTGGGACCTGTTACTCTCTTGGTGTTGTGGGGAAAACAGGAGAAGAAAGGAGTATTATGCATGTTTGCTGCCCTGAGTCATTTGTAAAGTAATAAAGCAAAATGAAAATTTAATAAACAAATAAAACAATTTTACAATGGTTTATCACCACAGAACAGGGAACTACATTCCATTGATTTATCTATTTACTTCTTTTTTATTTAAAAAATAATTCCTGAATAGAATACAGCTTAATTCAATAAGAATAGTATCACATTAAACATAGCAGTGTAATACAACAAAATCCCTGGTTAAAGAAGCTCTCAGTTTTTAATAACTGAAAGCTAATAATCCTGCCACTAATCTAGCAGGAATTCCTATTTCTCAGTATTTCTTCTGTAGTGCAACATCCTATTTAATTTACTGCATGGAGAATCTCTGGCAAATGGGCAAGTAAACAAGGATGAACATAATACAACATGATGCAGGTCCTGTGCTATATAACATTTTACTAAACAAGGACTGAACTTGGCTAAAGAACAGGCTCGCAGGCAATGCAATTAATCTAGTCTGTGAAATTTTACAATAGCTGTAGCTTCCAGGGCAACTTAAAAAAAAACCAAGTGATAATGTTTAAAAATGAGATATCAGTGAAATGGGAATAATCTAGAAAATCAGAGGATACAGCTTCTTCCAAAATATGTACCTTTTCTTTAGCAGAGAATCACAATACCGTGCCAGCAACTCGGGAGATTTACTAGATGATTGTGCCATTTTTGTTACTGCATTATTATTTATGAAGCGACCACAAGCCTGTGAAATATGTAAGTGAAATGTTCAGACATTTCCAAAATCAGTCACTTGCTAGTTATAAATACACTACTAAAACATATTACCTTGTCTAGAGCTGCAACAAAGCCGGCATCATTGTTGAAAGCTGACATCACTAGTGCATTGTATTTCTTGTGAACATCCAACACTGTTTGTACATACATTTTTGGATCCTAAAAATTAAAAAGAAAGCAGTGATAAACTCTCCTAAAGTCCTTCAACTGCATACTTTGGAGAAATCTTTTCATATTTATCTATTTAAATTGATTTGTAAATTGACTTGATTGCATTTAACATTTTACATAGTCATATAACTACTGAAACCCAGTACCAGTGTATTTCTTTTAACAAAAAGCTTTTGATTATAGTACCACAAAGGTAACCTGTTCTTAATGGGTATACTCCTTCCACAAAATCTTGCCCAGACGTTTTATTATATCAAAATAAATAATACCAGTTTGTCCATTTCTAATAATTCATTTCAGCAGTTCTCAAATTGTGGTGTAAAATTCCTGAAATTCTGAGGTTCCACAAAGTCAAATATTTATTTTAAAATTTCTTAGTTTTAAATTTCAAAATAGAAATAGACGTAATCCAAATAAGACACTTTGAGATCTTTAATCCCGTTAAGAGTGTAAAGGGTCCTGGTACTGAAATGTTTCAGAACCACTGATTTATTACAAACACACAGTATTTGTATTTGTTTATACAACTTAGAAGGAATCATATAGGCCAACCTTCACCCATTGTATGAACCCAAATTTAATCTGTCAGATGAATATTCTTCCTGTTCACTAAGGGTGACATATTTGATAAACTGGCATAACTAGTTCTGTCATAAAACTGTATAATAAGAAAATGCTTTAATCCTTAATCCCCCCATGCTTTCATTCTGTTGGTATTTAATGACTGATAAATTGTTAAAAATGTATAAAGAAATTCAAATATGTGCTGAAAACACAATGATAAAGATGGCACTTTTTATAATTTCTGGTGAATTTTTTATTAATTTATTCAGCGTTCATTATTTTTATAAATAACAAGGTAGCAAATATACTCCTTCTTCCTATTTTCCTCACAAAAACAACCCTGTGAGGTGAGCTGGGTTGAGAGTGACTGGTTTAAAGTCACCTAGCTGCCTTTAATGCCAAAGAGGGGACTAGAGCTCATAACTCTTCTACTTTCTAGTCTGGTGCTTTAATCACTAGACCAAACTGGATCTCAACTGATTTGTCATAAAGCAAATAAATATTGGGACCAGATTTTCATTTTAATCCAGAAAACTCTTAAAATAAATATATATTTTTCTTTTGGGTCTGATGGACAAAGAACTTGAAAGAAAATCTGAAATTTTATAATTATATATGTTAACTGCAGCAAAAAGTTTGTATGACCAGAGACAGAAAGACATATCAATTCCCATAATGGAAGATGTTAAAGGTAATAGAGTTGGTGGAGCTGGCAGAACTGTCTTAATTAAAAAGAATTTAATTTGTTTCCACTGTCTTAATTAAAAAGAATTTAATTTGTTTCCACTTGAAAAATCATTTCTGAACTTTGTGCTCGAAATGGGGAAAAAATGAAACCCACAAGCAAAGTTAATGGGAAAGCCAGCAGGAAGGTTGCAAGTTGCTCAAGTAAATCTCCCGTAACCAGCAGCATCCACTCTATGTCTTAGTTTGCTTATACTATGCTAGACCACCGCATGTCCTCCTTCACCTGGTAGCAGCTACTGCAAATCTGTATTTTTTCTGCACCAGAACCTTGCAATCTTTTCCATCCCATAGCAGTCACCTGCTATGCTCATACTGCACAAGACTATCTTGCACTTTCTCCTGCCCCACAGCAGTCATCTCCAGCCTGACCCTTATATATCTTACTCTGCATTCCCTGCACTTGTGCCATGCAGTGCCAGAACTTGTACACTCTCCCCTGCCCTACAGCAGCCACTCCAAGTTTCATTGCACTAGTGTGTGCTTTCACACTCACTGCAGCAATCACCTCAAGCCTTCCTGTTTGCATTGAACTGGACCCTTTCATATACTTCCCTGCCCCATAAGCATCTCTATAGTCTTGCTGCATTGGATCCTTGTGCATCCTCTCCTATCCTGCAGCAGTTACTTATCTACTAGCTGGCCTGTGCATGAGTTATCTAGTAGTTACAACTTCCTACCAACTTCCCCACTGACTATGATTGTTGAAATTGGCAGAAAGTTATAAGATTTAATGACCTTCACTTAACAACAGTGACTGGGACTGCAGGAATTGCCATTTCTAAATGATGTGGTCACATAATGTTGCACTTTATGACATCACTTCTATAGACAAATTCCAGTCCTGATTATTATCATTAACCAAGCACTACATGTATGCAGTTACCACAATTACAGCTAGTAGAACCTGATTTGTAAACCACTGAAATTTTTCCCATAACTGCTTCAATCTGTTTTGAACTGTTCTTAAAACATGATGTATAGAACATAACACTAGTTCATTAATTGCAACATTTTTCTTTAAGTCTTACAATTATTATATTTGTTGCTATTATGGCTTGAGAAATTACACTGCTCAAAAAAATAAAGGGAACAAAAAAAAGGCATCCTAGATCTGAATGAATGAAATATTCTTATTAAATACTTTGTTCGTTACATAGTTGAACGTGCTGACAACAAAATCACACAAAAAATATCAATGGAAATCAAATTTAGCAACCCACGGAGGTCTGGATTTGGAGTTACACTCAAAATTAAAGTGGAAAAAAACACTACAGGCTGATCCAACTTTGATGTAATGTCCTTAAAACAAGTCAAAATGAGGCTCAGCAGTGTGTGTGGCCTCCATGTGCCTGTATGACTTCCCTACAATGCCTGGGCATGCTCCTGATGAGGCGGCGGATGGTCTCCTGGGGGAATCTTCTCCCACACCTGGACTAAAGCATCCCCCAACTCCTGGACAGTCTATGGTGCAACGTGGCGTTGGTGGATGGAGCGAGACATGATGTCCAAGATGTGCTCAATTGGATTCAGGTTTGGGAATGGGCAGGCCAGTCCACAGCATCAATGCCTTCGTCTTGCAGGAACTGCTGACACACTCCAGCCACATGAGGTCTAGCATTGTCTTGCATTAGGAGGAACCCAGGGCAAACCGCACCAGCATATGGTCTCAACAAGGGGTCTGGGGATCTCATCACGGTACCTAATGGCAGTCAGGCTACCTCTGGCGAGCACATGGAGACCTGTGCGGCCCCTTAAAGAAATGCCACCCCACACCATTACTGACCCACTGCCAAACCGGTCATGCTGGAAGATGTTGCAGGCAGCAGAACGTTCTCCACAGTGTCATCAGACCCTGTCACGTCTGTCACATATGATCAGTGTGAACCTGTTTTTATCTGTGAAGAGCACAGGGCGCCAGTGGCGAATTTGCCAATCTTGGTGTTCTCTGGCAAATGCCAAACGTCCTGCACGGTGTTGGGCTGTAAGCACAACCCCCACCTGTGGATGTCGGGCCCTCATACCACCCTCATGGAGTCTGATTCTGACCGTTTGAGCAGCCACTTGCACATTTGTGGCCCACTGGAGGTCATTTTGCAGGCCTCTGGCAGGGCTCCTCCTGTCCCTCCTTGCACAAAGGCGGACGTAGCGGTCGTGATGCTGGGTTGTTGCCCTCCTATGGCCTCCTCCACGTCTCCTGATGTACTGGACTGTCTCCTGGTAGCGGCTCCATGCTCTGAACACTACGCTGACAGACACAGCAAACCTTCTTGCCACAGCTCGCATTGATGTGCCATCCTGGATGAGCTGCACTATCTGAGCCACTTGTGTGTGTTGTAGACTCCGTCTCATGCTACCACTAGAGTGAAAGCACCGCTAGCATTCAAAAGTGACCAAACCATCAGCCAGAAAGCATGAGAAGTGGTCTGTGGTCACCACCTGCAGAACCACTCCTTTATTGGGGATGTCTTGTTAACTGCCTATGCTTTCCACCTGTTGTCTATTCCATTTGCACAACAGCATGTGAAATTGATTGTCAATCAGTGTTGCTACCTAAGTGGACAGTTTGATTTCACAGAAGTGTGATTGACTTGAGTTACATTGTGTTGTTTAAGTGTTCCCTTTATTTTTTTGAGCAGTGTATTTCCAAGCGATTGAAACTCATTACCTTTTTCACAGAGTAAATTTAAAAGAAACATGTATGTGTAATCTTTAAATATGGACTCCTCCTTCTTTTATTGCTGCCACAGTAATAGCTTCATTGTAACCTGTACGGACCCATTCAGAAAATACCAACATTGGAAGATACTTCCATCATCAGAAAAAGCTGGTCTACATTTGATATATTGGCAAAGACCACGGACTAGAATTCTAGCCATGTGCCTGTTTTCTAATAAAAATGCTACATTTATATCATTTTAAGATTTTCCATTTTTTCTCATTGAAGAAAACTATTTATTTATTCTATTATTTAATCTTCCAAGTGAAAAAAGAATATAGTTTATTGCTAATGTAACATATGCTCTTAAAAAATCAAAAATATACTTAAAAAATCAAAAATATACTTTTCAATTGAAACATACAATGATTTCACATTCCATCTTCCAAGACCTGTTACATTACTGCAAACTTTTTAGTAATTCTTACCTTGCTGTCTTCAGAGATTATCAAGGACCCCACAATTCAGTCCTGAGCTACAAATATTCTTTCCTATTGGTAATTATTATTGTCCTGCCTCAATAAATGAATGTAGTTGAAAGCTCCTTTCAAGTTTTTTGAAAGCAAAACTTTTGAATCACACAAAGAACAGAATAAAATTACTGAAATAGTTTGAACATGCTTGTTTAAATAAATGTTCACATTAACAGATTTTTCATACCAGAGCATTGACTACCTGATAGAAGACTGTAAGTAGCAAAATGGTACAATCGATTCTGAATGAAGAATGATTCATTCTTTCCTGCTACATGTAGTCTTAAAATATCATGATGTATATACATGACCCCCTCGCTGAAATCTCGAGTTAATGAATGTGACATGAATCTAAGAGATGTGATCAATCTAATACTCACATTTAATGCAGCTTCTCCACATTTTTCAATGGCAGCTAAACCCTGATTATGAATGTGAGTTTCCAAAAGTTTTTTCAGTTCTCCAAGGCCATCCTGAATTCGAGACACAAGATTATACATGCGTCCTAAATCTGGGAGAAAAAAGGAAGCAAGATTTATTTGAATTTGAATTTGCATTAATATTTTTATGTCACCATCTCATCCAAGAATTAGGAACAGATTAAGATCTGAAAATATACTAAAATAATCAACTAACTAATCATCTAAAACAATGCATCTAAGTTTCAGAGAGCAAAATGCCAGGGAAAACATCTTCATTTAAATGTTAAACTGTATTTTATAATCTATGACATAAACATAAGAGATAATTATTTACAAATCATACCAAGAATGTAAGTCATGTGAAAACAAGCTCAACCTTCATTTCATAATTTATCAAAAGGAACTATCTATCAGTTAAATATGGGAAAGCTTACCTTCATTTTTGTCAGCATCCAATAGGTTTTGAAATTCTGTATGAAAGATCTCTAAGTGTTTTTCAATTAGTACTTGTTCACATTTCCGTGCTAGTTCATCTTGTGTGCTCTCATGTAGGTAAACCTGAACCCTACGCTGTTCCTCCAAAAGACGAGCCTCTGCCTGTAAAATAAATACATGTTGTCTAAATTCGAAAATCATTAAGACACAGAAATATATACCATAAATACCTGAAGAGTAATTACATCATATCTCTGTAATTTTGTTTCTATTATTTTTATCCAGAAATAAATTAGGAAGGAAGAATATTCAATTATTTAACCTGTTTATTTTATCATTTTCTGATTTACTGAGATTTTGAAACAATGTTGAATATTTCAAGATTCCATATTTATCTATTATTGTTTTTCATTCTTGAAATAGCTGTAATACGTTTCCAAATGTTTTCCTTGTTTGCAGTAAAGAATTATTTCAGTTCCTTTATTTATGAATACCTCCATATTGGATCTAAATCCCATAGCTTTAGTTAAACAAGGCTAAGAAAAAACACACTTATACTCAGTATATGTGTGTTTAGCTTTGAAGCTAGTTGCTACTTTCAGTTCAACAACTACCAGGCAAAACAGGTGCCTTAAATTCCTACTTCAAATATAGTACCAATTATTTTTAGATCCAGGAACTTGCAATATAACTATAGTACCTTTTTCATGTATTCTGTAACTGGGTTTTGTTGCAAAAATTCAGTGCTTTCTCTTGTATAGAATCTTTCTGTGTCAGCAAGAAACTGAGATTCAAAGGACTCTTTATATACAGTCAATGTAGGCCCCTTAGCAAAAGTATCATCTTCATTCAGTCCCAGCTCCACTAAAAGCACACAAATTTTTTAAAAAAGGCACAAAATTAATTTTAAAGTTTACCTAAATAGCACAGATTTCATTAGCAGATTTAATGAAATTTTACCTCATTTAAAAGTATTCAACTTTTAATAAAACATTTAATAAAAGTTAAATAGGATAGAAAAGGACAATTTACATGCAGGCTATAAATTATAATAAAATATCTAAGATATTATTTAAATGCACAATTGTATATTTTTTTTAAAATAAATTAAATTTGAACCCCTGCAGAGAAGGCTGCAAGAACAAAGAAATGTCTTTCTTCCTGAAATCAAAATAAAAGTGTGTTTATTATTTCAAGAACTACAGTCTAATCTCTTGTGTATCTACTTAGAAATGAGTTCCAGACATGATTTATTCATAATAAGGGTGTTTTTATCAAAGGAATCATTAGGATGAAATATATTTAATTTCAAATGCCTTTGAAGTTTATTAACTTCATTATACTGGATCTAAATCTACAGTTAACAAAAGAAAATATAACAGGAAACTGTGAAAAGTGATACCAGTCAATTCAATACTTTGAAAAACATGTGACTCTCACTACATAGCATACAGTTTTCCACAAACCTTCAACCAAAGATAGGCAGTTCTCATCCTCAATTTTCATCTTCTCAATTACTTACCAGTTGTTATATTCTGTTTAGTTTTTCATGTTTACAAAATCAAGAAAGAAGAAAAAAAACATGATTTTCCTACTTGCTTAAAGAGAATCAGAATCAGAAATTGTGTACTAGCTGTTTGGAACTGTCTGGTTTTATTGATTCAGATAATTCAAGGTTTGTATTGGTCTAAACCTACTCTATGTTTGTCATGGAAAATTGGGATACTTGAATGGAAAGCCAGGGTTTAGCACCTTCAAATTGGGCACTGGGTTCACCAACTTCCTCTCTTAAACACTTTAGGAAGCTGTTAATATTGACATTCTAAATGTTAAGAATCTTCTGAAAGGCCACCTTAATCAAGTTGGGGGGAAATCTCTTTCAACCCTGGATGAAAGAATATCTATATAAATATGATTGAAAAGAAAAGCCTTAATTTTTGAAAAACATCAAAAAGCATACTTAGATGTTGATTTTGGAAAGTTAAAGAACAAGGTAAACATAAAAGAATTAAAACATCCCTGTGAGATGTTTAAAATACTTTGATCATATGTTCATGAGGATGCTTTAAAGGTCGTAAGTGTGAAAAATAGTGATAAGTCATAGTGCCATTGTAACTTTGAATGGTCACTAAATGAACTGTTATAAGTTGAAGACTACCTGTAGTATTTGACCCCAGAAGAAAGTAAGGATGTTTGGGAACTGTGTACTCAGAAATCACTAACAAGACTATCTAATGCTATCTGAGGATACAGAACAACACATTTTGTTGAATGAAGCTGATTTAAATGTGAGTTTGGATTCTTTAAGAAGTGATAAGGAAAAAGATGGTGTAGATCTGAAAATGGATTTAATCTCCCTGTGGCCCCACAGGTCAGATCTAAGCACCCCTCGGGCCGGATCTGGCCCGCGGGCCTTGAGTTTGACACCCTTAGTATAGGTGAAACTAATGGAATTCTTAAGAGGAGACAAATAAAAAACAATAAAAAAATTCCACTTGTGGGATATTATATGACAGGATTAAAGTAAGAAAAGTAAACAGAAGGAGCTCAAAGTGGACATCTGATCAGGGTTAATATACATGTTGTAGATATGGAATAAAATACAAATATTATATATTTCAAATTCCTTTACATAGAAACAAGAAGGGGCCGAATATAAACCAAACTTTAATCTTTATAATGGGATAAAAATAAAACAAAAAAATACCAACAATCATTAATATTATTTTTACCATAAGATTGCACAACTCCACTGATCAGTCTTGTATTGATAGTTTCACCATTTCTTTCTTTTTCAATCAGCTTCAACACAGCATTTGTTACCTTTGAAAATATGAATTGGACAAATATACAAATTAATAATTCACATAATATAATGGATTTTAATATAGCAAATAGGACTCTTCGGGTCCCTGGGTGGCATGCAGTGCCCCAAACCCTCAGATATGATCCCTACACCCTAACCCTTCCAAACATCGCACCAAAATATTATGTTTAACAAAATGGAAGAAAATTAATATATCGATGTAGTAACGTTATATAAAATACAGGGGAAGAATAATTTGAACTTTTTAAAAATTATTCAGATAAATAAATAAAATTTACTTTTGGTCCTCGCCCCATTTATTTTTTGAAGTACATGTCATTCAAAATCCCATGCAGATTTTTAGGCCTCTATTAATGCTATATTAATGAGCTAATTCAAATGTTTTAACTAAGGCTTATTATTATCAGGAATGTATTGCAGTAGACCTCAGGTTAATGGGGCATTGGTCCTACCTGACACGCATCTTCTTGGGGAGTCGAAGGGAGAATCCAGGCTGGGTTGTCTCAAGCCTCGTAGCTCTACAGATCGAGTTGAAAATTGAGGAAACACCCCCCCCCCATAACAGTCCCCAGTTCTGAACAAAGACAAATTGAATCCTGCTGTCCATCGTCCTCTGAAAAATAGTCCTCTCGATGAAAATCCCTCTCCTGACTCTGACCAGAAAGACTTTGGGGTGGGACTGGATTCTCCCTTCAACTCCTTGAGAAGGAGGCATGTCAGGTAGGACCAACGCCCCTTCTCCACTGAGCCGAAGGGAGAATCCAGGCTAGTACATACCAAAGCTGGCTGTTGGCTGTCCTATGGGCGGAAATTGGTCGAGGCTGCAGGACTCACCTGCCAAAGGCCGCCTCCACCGAGCCGAGAGTCAATCTGATAATGTCTGATGAATGGGGTCATAGACGACCACGTTGCAGCTCGACAAATGTCTAGAACCGATGCCTGCGTTGCCCAGGCTGCAGTAGTTGCCACACTTCTGGTAGAGTATGTGGTGATTCTCCTGGCACAGGAAGAACCTGCAACTCATAGGCTTTAGCAAAGCAGGCTCTGAGCCAGCAACTCATGGTGATAGGTGTCACCCTGCAGCCCAAAGTTGACGGTTGAAAGGAGACGAACAGCGACTCAGTCTTCCTGAAGGAAGAGGTTCGCTTGATATAAATGCGGAGGGCACTCCTGATGTCCAAGGCATGTCAGAGCATGTTTAGGCTCTGGGCAAAAGCCAGGAAAAATCAACTCCTGTGAATGATTGAATGAGTTCACCTTGGGCAGAAAGGTAGGGTCCAACCGCAGAACCACCCTGTCCACATGAAAAACACAAAGGTCCTTTCTAACTGATAAGGCCGCCAACTCTGAGATACGCTTGGCCGATGTAATGGCCACTAGTAATGATACCTTGCACGTGACTAAATGCAGGCTGGCTTCACGCAAAGGTTCAAAAGGAGAAGTCAGCATCTGCAAGACCTTCAGCAAGTCCCAGGTGGGGTACCACCGGTGGCTTCAAATTCGTGGCTCCCCGAAGGAAAGCTCTCACCCTGGGATGTTGGGCAAGAGTGTTTGAGTCCTCGAATGAAAGTACCAAGGCCAAAGGGGCCACTTGTCTCTTTAAGGAATTGGGGGAGAGCACTCTGTCCAAACCATCTTGCAGAAACTCCAACACATCTGCCACTGACACTGAAGTGGGCTCCAATCGGTGGCTAGCACACTAACCGCAGAAAATCTTCCACGTGGCATTGTATATTCTGGTAAAGGAAGGTCTGGCTGCCTGGATCATCTGGATAACCTTTTTGGAAAACTTCTCTTTCAGGAGCCCCTGCTCAAGCACCAGATAGTCAACTGAAACCATTCTGGCTCCGGATGTTTGATTGGACCTTGGCTGAGGAAGACTCTGTCCGGGGGAATTCTCCAAGGTCTGGCGACTGACAGGCCTACCAGATCGGCAAATCAAGGTCGCCTGGGTAAGTAAGGGGCTACCAACAAAACCTCCACCCTCTCCATCAGTACCTTTCTGGTTGTCCCTGGGATCGGGGGAAGGGGGGGAAGGCACACAATAGTCCCTGGGGCCATCTGCCAGGAGCTTGGTAAATGTACACGGGGCTGGTGCCAGGCCGAACAAAAGAGCTCAGCATTGAAAGTGGCAGCCGCCACAGCAAAACCTCAGGAACTGGCGGTGGTCTGGATGGATGGGCACATGGAGATAGGCCGTTAGGTCTACTGAAGCCAAAAAGTCTCCCTCCCAAATTCCCTAGAAGATTGAGTGAAGGGAGTGCATCTTGAATCTTCAGTATATCAGATGCCTATTGAGCCCTTTCAAGTTGAGAATTGCTTGCCACCCCCCTGAGGCCTTTGGGATGACAAACAAAATTGAATAAAACCCCCATCCCCTCTGGTTCCCTGGAACCGGCTGGATGGCCTGGACATCCAGCAAATACTGGATCACCGATTCCATGAGTGCCCTCTTTGCTGGGTCCTTGGAGACAGGACAGCACATAAAGGCCCTTGGGGGGGGGGGAGGAAAGAAATTCCAGGGACAGTCCTGATCGTATAGTGGCCCGTATCCAAGCATCCGTAATGGTCTTTTCCCCCTTCTGCCAGAAGAGATCCAGACAGCCCCCTATGGGATGGATGTCTCTGGCATCACGTTGCGTCTAAATAGCCTAGTGGACCCCCAGAAGGACCTCTTGCCCTCTGGCCTCTGACAGCCTCTGGCAGCAAAGGCCAGTCTATTGGCCTGAGAGGAAGATCTCTGGAAGGACCTATTCTGACAGAGAAAGCTCACCCCAGCCTACCTCTGTTTAAAGGAGGGCCTCCTGAAATAGAGCGAAGAGTGGTAATCAAAACACCTCTCCTGAGAAGGAAGGATCTTTCATTTGTCTCTGGTCTCCGTTAAAAAGGGATCCAGAGACTCCCCCAAAAGCCTCTCCCCCTTAAATGGGGCTGACACCCATTTGTTCCTGGAGTCCATTTGCCAATATTGTAGCCAAAAAAGCCTATGTGCTGTTACAGAAGAGGCAATGGCCCTAGATGAAAATTTGGCTGCAGTGAGCGTGGCATCTGCTGTCAATTATTCTGCGGCTATTATCTTATTTAGATCCTTATTTAGGTCCTCAGGTGGAATTCTGCCCTGCAACTGCCTCAGCCACCACAGAGAGGCCCATGTGAAAAAAGACGCAGTTGTGGATGCTCTGATGGCCCAGGCATCGGCCTGATGCGCCCTGCGGAGCACCAACTCCTCCTTCCGGTCCTCTGCCTTCAATGCGTTCTCCGCGTCCAGTGGTATGACCGATGAGGATGCTAGAGCCGCCACTGGGCCATCCACCTTTGGCACCTCAATGATGTCCAAAAGATCTTGGTCTACATTAAAGAGAGTCATCTCCGTCCCACTAGGGCGAGTGTATACCCCTGGGGAGGCCCCCTGCCTCTTGATCATATCCAAAAACATCTGGGGCACAGGAACAGTGTCCATCACGGATGTTTTCTCAGTGAAGATATAATCCTCCCGCTCTTCTCCCTCAGGAGGAAGATCTTGGGGGACTGTGTCCTTTTTTAGATGGGCTGTGCTCTTAGCCTTAACCAGCAGAGTCTTAAATAGAGCCAGCTGGAAAAGGCCCCTAAATGAGGGGGTGTCTGCTGCCTCTGTCTCATCTTCTGAAAAGTTCCTTTCCGGTGGGAGGTCCATTTCGGAAACACAAAACTGGCTCCTCCCTGATGGAGATTGATCTCTGTGGTAGGTCAGCTGCTCCCCCGAGGGTTGCCAATGCACCAGTGGTGGGATTCAAAACTTTTTACTACCGGTTCTGTGGGCGTGACAGGGGAAGGATATTGCAAAATCCCATTCCCTCCCCAGCCCACTAACCTGCTTTCCAGCTCCGTTCTCCTTTCCAGGTCAACAAAAGAAGACCCAGCCAATCAGCTGGGATTCAGGAGGCAGAGAATACATGGGGGAAGGGCCAGTCAGAGGCAGTATTTGCTGGTTCTCTGAACTACTCAAAATTTCCGCTACCAGTTCTCCAGAATTGGTCAGAACCTGCTGAATATCACGTCTGCAATGCACCTGAGGAATGCCTCTGTCAGCGTTCAAAGATGACAACTGGTGCTGCTGGTTCAATTCTGCTTGAATTTCTTGCCTAATGGCTTGAGAGATCCAGACTCTCATAAAGGTTGGCATTTCTTGAGTCTGGACCTCCTCAGGGCGAAGTCCCGGAGCTGTAGGCATAAAAGTCACTTCAGGCACAGATCTTGCTCTGCTGGAGGATTGTTCTCCCAGTCCAGCTGCCATAAGCCCTTCAGACTGCTCAGAAACAGAATAAGCAGCCTCTTCCATAATTTGGAGGTTTCCCTGTAAATCTTGATTAACTGAGCCACAGGGTGACCAGGCTATCAAATACTGTCTATTATTTGCCTATTGGTCTTGCTGCATGCTTTCATGGGGAATCTGAGGATATGCTGTCAGCCATCTTGGATCCCCTCAGAGCCTTGTGAAATTCTTTATCCAAGGCCTTCTGTCTGCACCTGGCCTGTCTCTCCTCTGCCCTAGAAGGTCTTTTAGGGGCTAGGGCCCTGGCTCTAATTCTGGCTGCTGCCTCTAAACTAGCAGACCTGGGCTTGGCAGATCCTCTGGCAGCTCTTTCTCTCTGCTCTGCTGGGGTGCTGACAATTCCTGATCAGCTTTCCCTGGCTACCATTTTGAGCCCTCCAAAAGCAACTGTGACAGAGAGAGGAAAAATATTAAAAAAATAAAATAAATTGAAATTATTTAGCCCAAGGCTAGCTGCTCTGGCTAAAGCAGCTATCCACCACTTCAGGAGGCAAATGCAACAAGAATTAGCTCAGCACAGCTCCACAATTTAGGTAGTTTAAAGATCAAAAGGAAAAAAGGGGACCTTTTAAAAACTGCAACAAGCCCTGATGGATCAGCAACTTGTGAGCCGAAGTGCTGGCTGCACCGTAATTAACTCCAGGCAGGCTTAAGCATCTCGCAGCTGCCACAGTGCTCTGGTTACTTGTAAAGAGGGTCTGTATTTAATATCCAGGTGACAACCACCCCCAAACCAGGACAAACCTAGAGCGAACTGCAGGATTATCCGAAGGTTGGAAACAGCCTCCCATGCAAAAAGGCAGTCTGAAGTGCCTCGCGGCTGCCGCAGCTGTCAAAATCAAGGGGAAATGGCTTTCGAGACAGACTGAATTATCAGTATTGACTCCAGCCCCAGCCCGGGCCACACTGGCTCTCAGGGGCTCTCTACCCTCAATCTGATCAGAAACCAAACAAAAACCAGTAACCAGCAAAAAAACAAAGCCAAGATTAAAAAAGAAAAATTAAAAGGGGCAAAAGGAAAAAGGGTGCCAAAAACAACAACAAAAAAACCCAGCTAAATCAGCAAGCCGGATCTCCTAATGCCAATGAAAAAAACCTAGAATCCAGAGTAGAAACATTCTTCAACAATTCCAACAGTTCAGAGCCCTGTAAGGGTGGTCTGAACAAGCTGAGACTGAGTGAAGAACTGGGGACTGTTACTGGGTGGTGGTGGTGTCCTCAGTTTTTCAAGTCGGTCTGTAGAGCTACGAGACTTGAGACAACCCAGCCTGGATTCTCCCTTCGGCTCAGTGGAGAAACATACAACATAAGGTTAGCTTTTTTGCATTTCAGTTTTTTTAATTACTGGGGTGTACCATTAAAATTTAATTATTAAACATTATGTACACAATTTATTAAATATGATAAGAGAAATGGAACTGGATAGTAACAACATATTTATGATACTGTACTCCAAAGCATTCAATGATTTTCTAGGGCTTCATGTGGATGATGAAAAATATATTTTTTTCTGTATTTTTTTATAGAATATAAAAATATTTTCTATATTTTGAGCCCTAGGGCACTCCAAACGTCAGTAACTTAGGGCTTGATTGGTCTTTTCACATCCATATGCATCAACTAGAGCTATAGGTACTTCGACTTACAAAATTTGAGTAGTAACTATTCAAAGTTACAAAAGCACTGAAAAAAGTGACTTATGACCGTTTTCACATTTACAACTGTTGCAGCATCCCCATGCTTACCTGAGCAAAATTCGGATGCTTGGCAACTGTGTCACATTCATGACAATTGCAATGTTTCAGGGACATGAGAACATCTTTTGTGACTTTCTAACATGCAAAGTCAACGAGGAAGCAATATTCACTTAACAACTATGCTATTAACTTAACAACTGCAATGATTCACTTAACAATTGTGGCAAGAAAGTTGTAAAATGGAGCAAAATTCACTTAACTGTCTTACTTAGCAATATAAATTTTGGGATAAGTTTTGTGGTTGTAAATGAAAATTACTTCTGTCTGCTCAGGAAGGAAAAAAAATTAAATGTAAAATTATATCTCCAACCTTCTATTCTTGCAATAGGGCATGCTGGGTGGCTGTCCTTTTTGCTGGCAGTCCAGTACTGCTAAAAATTACATGCATCTTGGCCTATAGACTTGTTAGTCGCACCCCATTGAGGCATTCAGACATGCCAGAGTCTCCAAAGTTAATTGTGATGACACTGCTTCCACCACAAAGAGAAGCTACAGCAGGGGTCTACTGGGCCAGGGCCTATTTGAAAACAGGGCGCACAAGTGGCAGGCCAGTGGGCACATGCACCCTCTTGTATGTGCAGCTCAACGTGTGCAAGTTGAGCTGCGCGCATGTATGCACCTGCCTGCCACTCGTGCCAGTTGAATTGCGCACATGCGCCAGCCTGCCACTCACATGGCCCAGTTCCCCTCTCCCTGCCCCAAGCCAGGCTGCCAAGCAGAAAAGTTGGGGACAAATTTGGTATTCAACCCATTTTGTCTTGCAATCAAATGTTTGATACAACACACAAGCTAGAATGTATCAATATCATCTGCTTTGTGACTCACTACATTATTCCTTATAGGAAATATTTGTTTGTTATTTAACATTTTTGGTACTCATCACTGCTCCTGGGACCAATTAATGATGATGAGGTACCACTGTACTGTGCTGGGATGTCAAAAGGCCAGAAGGAGAGCACAGCAGTAGTGGTTCTTCCCATGCAATTCCACTTGGTCCAGAAATAAATATTTTTAAGTATTTTTATAATCTAGCCCTTTACAGAAAATTTGTACTGATTTGCAGCTCATTCCAAAAAATGAGCTTTGTACATTTCCTCAAGATCCACAAGATCAAACCCCTTATAGATAGTACTGCAGGACATTTTGCTCAGCACTTCACACCATCAATCCAAATTAAAATGAAAGGGCAAGTTTATTTGAAAAGTAATTGAACTAATATTTCACTGTATCTTAGCATCAGTATTTACAGCCTGTCTTTATATATAAAGGTTATCATATAGCATTCAATGACTACATTAAAGGAAGGAACGTTTCCCTTGCACGCCTATGATGCTGGCCCAAACTTATGAATAATTTGCATTATTAAATCATAGGCAATAAATGTACAATGAAATCTAACTATCTCAGATACAAAGAATAATCTATTTTTCATCATATTACCATTCATCAAATTCTCAAATTTGGCTTTAAATTAATTACAGCCAGAAATACAGTGATAATAAACTAATTTTTATTCTATTCATAATTTTTCTAGACAGAGTTTGGAATAAATTTTTAAAAATTACTTGTCAAAGTCACTCTCCACTAATAGTTTTTGATATATTTTTACATACATACACACACACACACACACACACACACTTACACAGAAACCCAAATCACTATATCCATCAATAGAAATATTACCTGCTTATTTAGTGGCCTGAACAAACAGTCCCGCCAGGTCACCAATGCAAGCTAGGATTTAAAAGGAGAAATATTATAAATGCTTGTCCCTGTATTCATGGTTATCTATAAAATTGCACATCACCCAGTTTTCAAAAGGTCCTTTCTTTAAGAACATTGTTCAAATTCACGTCTATTAAAGCATACCATGGGACCAGCAAACTGAGAGGATATTGTTCATTAGAGCCACTAATGAAGAGATCCTAAATCTCACAACTGTTCTATTTTACAATGTTTCTGATACGAACCAGAACACAAGAGGGCAAGTTTCAACCCTTAATTTTTTTAAAATACAAGTCCATTTCTCTAAATTCAAGGTCAAAAGTACATTTTTAAAATAAAATTTAGACAAATTTAAGCAGACAATCATGACACAGTTCACTCTTCGGTACAATTTTTGGTATTAAAAACCCCCCATTTAATATTCAAGGATATTACTCGTGTCATTTTCTCTCTTCCAAATGTAATAATAGCACTAATAGTCAATGTCAAATGTGGATATGAATTATACTAAATTAGGACTTTCTGTACAGCATGTATATTGGATGTAATACAAAGAAAATGCATGTCAGGATATGAAAAAGATATACAGGGACCAGAAACCAGAAAACAAATTCCTAAAAAGAATGCTGATAAAAACATTGCAGGCCTCCACAGTGGAGCACTTCCTTAGTTACAGAAAGAAAAATGATACATCAAACTGCAATAACTAAATTACCGCATTTTATCAAATGTACAGAAAAAATTAACTCTCCAAATAAAGTTGCTTTAAACATTATAAAGTAATGGAATTGACTTATGGCTAATCCAAAAAAGGGGTTAAAGGTTACATTATTTGCAAAGCCGCCATGTAAAATGAAAGTAAGTCACAAAGCAATAGTTTAAGAAAATAAATTTCTGTACAGCCTTCTGATTGTGTCAGAAACACTTTTTCAGTGATACCATGCAGAAGACAAGTAAGAGTCTCAGCTCTTCAACCCTCTATTATTAAAAAGGCATCTAGGATATAAAGGTGGAAGAAATATACTCTCTCTTTCCATTTAAAATTAAATATAACGAGGTTCTTCATTTTACAGCATATAATAATAAAACAGAGTTCTTGGTTCAGCAAGCATCTATTTAGTTCTATTCAATTCATAACTTGATCTGTTTTTATCCCTATTTTCCTTCAGTTTGATCTGAAACTAAACTAGGACTTCATATACCTATATATGCAGAAAAAAAATATTTTAGGTCACCTATAAGTAGGAGCAAATCTTAAGCAAAAGAGAAGACAAGTGGATCAATCTTCCCTTCAAACAAAAGGGGCATTGGTCCTACCTGAACGCTTCTTCTTGGGGAGCCAAAGGGAGAATCCAGGATGGGTAGTCTCTAGTCTCATAGCTCTGCAGACCGAGTTGAAAAACTGAGGACAACACCCCCTGGTAACGGTCCCCAGTTCTGAACAATGTTGAAGCGAATCCAGCTGCTCCTCGTCTAACAGATAGCCTATTTGATACTGCGAGAAAAAAACACTTCCTCCCTACTATGACCAGACAGAATACAGGGTGGGACTGGATTCTCCCTTCAGCTCCCCGAGAAGAAGCGTTCAGGTAGGACCAACACCCATTCTCCACTGAGCTGAAGGGAGAATCCAGGATGGGACATACCAAAGCTGGCTGATGGCTGTCCTACAGGAGGGAACTGGATTGGTCGGAGGTCCCCACTTCTACATGAACGTCCTGCAGGACTCATCTTCCAAAGGACGCCTCTGCTGAGGCAAAGGAGTCAATTTTATAATGTCTTATGAATGGGGTCACAGATGACCAAGTCGCAGTTCTACAAAAGTCCAGAACCGAAGCCTGCATTGCCCAGGCTGCATGGGTTGCTGAACTCCTGGTTGAGTGCGCAGTGATTCTCCTGGGCACAGGAAGAGCCAGTAACTCATAGGCCTTCGCAATACAGGCTCTAAGCCAGTGACCCACGGTAGATGGTATCACCCTGCGACCCAAAGTTGATGGCTGAAAGGAAATGAACAGGGCTTCAGTCCTCCTAAAAGAGGAGGTGCTTTTGATGTATATACAGAGGGCCCTCCTAACGTCCAAGGTGTCCCATTTTCTCTCCAGTGCATGGGTAGGCCCTGGACAGAAGTCAGGCAAAATCAACTCCTATGAGCGATGGAATAAGGAGTTCACCCTGGGCAGAAAGGTAGGGCACAACCACAGAACCACCCTGTCTACATGGAAAACGCACAGGTCCTTTCTGATGGATAAGGCCATAAACTCCGAGATACGCCTGACCGAAATAATGGCTACTAAGAATGACACCTTGAATGTGAGTAGACGAAGACTGACTTCACACAAGGGTTCAAATGGGGGAGAAGTCAGTGCCTGCAGGACCCTAGGCAAATCCCAGGTGGGGTAACGGTGGACCACCGGTGGCTTCAAATTAGTGGTTCCCCTAAAGAAGGCTTTCACCCTGGGGTGTTGGACCAGAGTGGTTGAGTCCTTGACCGAAAAAACCAAGGCCAAGGCAGCCACCTGTCTCTTCAAGGTACTGGGGGTGAGACCTCTGTCCAACCCATCCTGCAGGAACTCTAACACATTAGCCACAGACACAGCAGTAGGTTCCAATAGGTGACTGGCACACCAGCCGCAGAAAATCCTCCACGATGCGTTGTATATCCTGGTCATGGAAGGTCTTCTGGCCGCCTGGATAGTCTGAATGACCCTTCTAGAAAACTACTCCCGTTTCAGGAGCACCCACTCAAGCGCCAGATGGTCAACTGAAACCAGGCTGGATCTGGGTGCTCAATCCAGCCCTTGCTGAGGGAGATCCTGGGCAGGAGAATTCTCCAGGGTCTGGCGACTGACAGACCCACCAGGTCTGTGAACCATGGGCGCCTGGGCTAGTAAAGGGTTACCAACAGAACCTCTGCCCTCTCTGTCAGTACCTTTCTGATTGTCCTCAGAATCAGGGGAAGGGGGAAGGCATACAATAGCCCTTGGGGCCACCTGCACCGGAAAGCATTGACCCCTTCTGGGAACGGTGCTGGGAATGGTGCACAGAACCTCGGGAGCTGTGAGTTTTCCGGAGATGCAAAGAGATCCAGAATCAGACAGCCAAACCGTTCCATCGTCTCCTGGAACAGATTGGGATGCAGTTGCCATTCTGACTGGTTGACTGTGGTCCTGCTCAACCAGTCTGCTTGCACATTGAAAACTCCCGAGATGTTTTCTGCTCGCAGGGACAACCGGTGTCTCTCCGCCCACCTGCACAACTGAGTCGCCTCCTGCATTAGAGATCTGGAGTGAGTGCCCCCCTGCCGGTTTATGTGGGCATTGGTGGCCACATTGTCTGTGAGGACAAAAACCTGTCTCCCCATCACCTCCTGCCTTAGATCCTTGAGAGTTAAGCAGGCAGCCCTGAGCTCTAGCCAATTTATGTTGTTGCCGAGCTCCTCCTGTGACCACCTAAGCTGGACTCCCAGGTGGGCCCCCCAACCATACAGACTGGCGTCGGTGGTGATGGTAATCCTCTGGGGCTCCCTGTACAAGCAACCCTGATCCATGGCTTGGGACTGCCACCAATGGAGAGAAAGAAGAACCAACAAGGGGACGTGGACCCTCCTTAGTGAGTCACCCCTGCTCGCCTTCTGGTAGGGGAGCAGGAACCACTGTAGGGTTCGGGCATGGAAGCGGGCCCTGGGACGATCCCAATGCCCGATATCATCTTGCCAAGAAGCTGAGACAACAAGATGATAGGTGCCTCTCTGTCAGACAGGATCTGTGATGTGATGTCCCTTATGCTGTCTCGACGCTCCTGTGAGAGAAAGATCTGGCCAGTTAAGGTGTCTATGATAGTCCCCAAATGCAAGAGACGGTTTGATGGTACTAGGTGGCATTTGTCCAGGTTTATCCAGGTGGCATTTGTCCAGGTTTATCCATTTGTCCAGGTGGCATTTGTCCAGGTTTAACCCATGCTCTCAAAGGATCCTGATTGTCAACATCATATCCTCCTCCGCCTGGGGTCTGGAAGAGAATGCTATCAGGATGTCGTCCAAATAGCATAGGATCCTTATGGGTAAGGATCTGAGGTATGCCGCTACGGCTGCCAGGAGCTTGGTAAAAGTCTGTGGGGCTGATGACAGGCCGAACGGGAGAGTCCTGTATTGAAAATGGTGGCTGCCATAGCAAAACCTCAGGAACTGACGGTGGTTGGAGTCTGTGGGCACAGGGAAGTAGGCCTCTGTCAGGTCTACCGAAGCCAAAAAAACCTCCCTCCCGCAGGCCCTGTATGATAGAGTGGAGGGAGTGCATCTTGAATCTTCGGTAGATTAGATGCCTGTTGAGCCCTTTCAAGTTGAGGATTGCTTGCCACCGCCCCCTCCCCCGAGGCCTTTGGAATCACAAACCAAATTGAATAGAACCTCTGTCTCGCCTGGTCTCCAGGAATTGGATGGATGGTCCGAACGTCCAGCAGATGGTGGATCACTGATTCCATGAGATCCCTCTTTGAGGGGTCCCTTGAGACAGGGCAGAACAAAGGCACTGGGGGGGGGGGAGAAACTCCCGAGAGAGACCTGACCATAAAGTTGTCAGGATCCAAGTGTCTGTCGTGATCTGTTCCCACCTCTGCCAGAACAGTCCCAGATGCCCCCCTGTGGGAGGAGAGGCTTGGGTGTCATTTGTTGCATCTAAAAGGTCTGTTGGAACCCCGAAAGGACCTTCTGTCATCTTGCCTCTGATGGCCTCCGGCAGCAAAGGCCGGTCTATTGGCCTGAAATAAGGATCTTTGGAAGAAGGGCCTACTTTGATGGGGAAAGCTTGCCCCAGCTTCCACGTTTAAAGGAGGGCTTTCTGTAGTAGGGTGGAGACCTGTAATCAAAAGGCCTCCCCTGGAAGGGCAGGATCTTTCACTTGTCCCTGGTTTCCATCAAAAAAGGGGATCCAGGGCCTTCCCAAAAAGCCTCTCTCCCTTGAAGGGAGCAAACGCCAGCTTCCATTTGTTTCTGGCATCCATCTGCCAGTTTCTTAGTCAGATGAGCTAACGTGCTGTTACAGATGAGGCCATGGCTCTGGAAGAAGTTTTGGCTGATGTGAGGGTGGCATTAGCTGTTGATTGAGCTGTAGCTATTATCTTATTTAAGTCCTGATGCACCCTGAGGTCCTCAGGTGGGATTCTACCCTGCAGCTGGCGTAGCCACCCATTACGCCCCAGGGGACTCCACTGCTTTTTAATCACATTCATAAATGTCTGGGGCACAGGTACAGCGTCCACCACAGATGCTTTCTCAGTGAATATGTAATCTTCCTGATCCTCTCCCTCTGGGGGAAGATCCCAGCAACCTTGTCCCTTTTTTTAAGATGAGCCATGCTCTTAGCCTTAACCAGCAGAGTCTTGGAGAGAGCCAGCTGGAAAAGGACCTTAAAGGAGGGGGGACATGCTACCTCCGACTCCCTGTCCGAAAAGCCCTCTCTGGAAGGAGGTCCCTCTCAGAAACATAAGACTGGCTTCTTTCCGAAGGGGATTTCTGAAGTAGATCGGCTGTTCTGCAGAAGCCTGCCAGTGCCCCTGAGGAACGCCTCTGTTGGTGTCCAAACGAGACAGCTGGCGCAGCTGGTTGACTTAAGCCTGAAATTCTTGTCTAATTGTTTGGGAGATCCAGGGTCTCATGAAGGATGGCATCTCTTGCCTATGGGGTTTCCTCAGGCTGCAATCCAGCCACTATAGGGTAAAGGTGTTTTTTTTTATTTTCAGGCGCAGGTCTGGTTTTGCTGGAGGCTTGGCTTCCAGGTGCAGCAATCAAAAATCCTTGTGGTGGCTCAGAATTATTATGAGTGGCTTTTGCCTTGATTTGGAGGTTTCCCTGCAAATCCTGAGTACTTGAGCCACCAGGATATCAGGCAGTCAACTAATCTGCCAATTGGTTTTGCTGCCTGCCCTCTTGTGGGAGCAGAGGAGAGATGGCCCCGTTTTCAGCCATCTTGGAGTCTATCACTGCCTTATCAAACTCCTTATCTAGGGCTTTTTGTCTATGCCTGGCCTGCCTATCTTCTGCCCTAGAGGATCTTTTAGGGGCTAGGGTCCTAGCTCTGATCCTAGCTGCTGCTTCCAGACCCGCAAACCTGGACTTAGTTGATCTCCTTGCAGCTCTCTCCCTACTCTGTTGAGGAGCTGATAATTCTTGGCCAGCTCTCCTGGCAGCCATTTTGAGTCTACCAAAAATAATTGTCACTGACAGGGAGAGAGAAAAGGAAAAAAGGGGCAAAAGAAAAATAAAAACAAAATTTATTTGATCTAAAGCTGTCTGCTTTTGTCACAGCAGCTGTCCACCACTTCAGGAGGCTAGTGCGACCCAGAAGTGGTGAGCATCTCACAGCTGCCATGGTCTCAAGCATCTCACAGCTGCCATGGTGCTCTGGTGACTGAACAGGGGGTCAGGATTCAATCCAGATGGCCAGTACCCCCCCCCCCAAGAGACAATCCTGGAGACGAACTGCAGAATTGTCCCGAAACGTCTGAAATGGCCGCCTGGCGGTTTTTGCGGCTAGCACAGATCAATAAGAACGGACTGGGAGAAAGCGAGTTGAATAAGACACTGACTCCTGCCCCTCCAGCTCGGGCCACACAGGCTCTCAGGGCCACCTCCAAACAAATTTACAATCACAATTCCAAAAACCAGTCTACCACACAAAGAATTTTTTAAAAAGACAGTCAAAAAAAAAAAAAAGCGAAAAACAAAAGTGCTAACTGGCAAGCTGGCTAGCTGTTAAACCACTCTAAGCCAGTCGAAGAGGGGGAAAAAAACCTCAATCCAGGGGGTGAAGATTCTTCTACAATCTTAACTATTCAGAGCCCTTAAAGGGTGGTCTGAACACGCTGAGACTGAGTGAAGAACTGGGGACCGTTACCAGGGGGTGTGTCCTCAGTTTTTCATCTCGGTCTGCAGAGCTGAGACTAGAGACTACCCATCCTGAATTCTCTCTTCGGCTCAGTGGAGAACTGTCATTTCTCCCCCCCCCCCCCCCAATTGAATATAACTACTCTTTATAACAACTTACTGAATAAATTTCATATATTCCCTTCCGGCCCTCATCACATTCACGACGAACCCAGTGTCGATTGAGGTAGGCACAAATCCCATTCAGCACTTTACTTGAAAACCGATAATCCTCCCATTGTTGAGTGTAGAATTTCAACACGCTCTCATCCATCAAATCTTCACCATCCTGAAAGAGACAATTCATCAACAGAACTTAAGCTAAATACAAGCTGAATTTCTTCTCCAGTGTTGCTTGTTTTCAAGAGAAAAATAGTATTAACTGACCCTTTATTTGTTTGTCTAGTGCAGGTTTTTTTTGGGCCATCCCCCACCTAAGCATCTCTAAAAATCTTGATTCCACCCATCACACATAATTCTTACTATTCAAAAAGTGAACTCCTACTCATGCGGAGAAAGCCTTAAAGGCCATTAACTTTGTTTAAACAAGGTTCCAAAGAACATGACATTCATGAAAGAGAAAAATAAAAGAACGAAAGACAATAGAGTAAAGAGGAGCTTAACAAATAATAGTATGAAGGGATATGAAAAAATGGCAAATAAAGATTTAAAACATGTGATAACTGAAATGCAGAAATATAAAATAATTTTAATAAAAGCTTTTTCTCTAATACTTTTATTATATTAATTACTATACATATTAAAATAAAGGTAACTAACAAATTCAAGATACAATTTGAGCTCACCTCAAGATCATATTTACAACACAATCCTATGCATGTCTACTCAGAAGTAAGCACCATTGTCTTCAATGGGGCTTACTCCCAGGAAAATATTGTAGGATTGTAGCTTTAATCTACTTAAGTTAGTGAGATCCTTGTGCTTGATGCCCCCAATTTAGACTCCAATTTAGTCAGCTTCTTTCTCAAATCTCCTCATGGAGGTGGTGGTAAATCACACACTGGCAAGGCCTATGCATGCATGGCCAGCCCCAGATTGCTCTGAGAGGAAAAGTCTTATAAAACACAGCCTGGGAAAACATAGACTAAAAATAACTATAACGATTTCTATAACTCTAACAATTTCTTACTTAAACTTGGGTCCTGGTTCTGTATCCTCATGGCTGGGTTTTCTCCAGCAGCCATTCACTTTGTCTCCCCACTCAGCAGGTCTCTCTGCAACTACCCAGCAGCAAAGCCCACAGGAAAGAGAGAGAGAGACTCTGCCAGTCCCATGATCCTTAGTGGGAACACATCTGATTGGCTGGCAGTTCTTTCCTCCCACCCACCCCCAGCTGAGATATCCTTTTCAGACCAGGCCCTAGGAAATGCACTTTAACAAAGACAACAATAGATAAATGAAACACAGCTGTTTCATCACAAATATATAAGAACAATTAGTGGGCTTTCAAAAATTCAGTTAATAGCTCATTTTCAAATTGTCCCCATTAAAAATCAAATTGCCCCCCTCTGGGGATGGGCCCCACATTAGGAACCACTGGTCTAGTCTTACCTGATAGGACTCTGTCTCTCCCTTGTCAGTTACTTTGTGTCAGAAAAGAAGCACATTATATCACCTTGACATATAATGAATATAACTATATTTTCTTTCAACAATCTATTTTTAGACTTGAACTGTCTTTTCTTTTTGCAATATTGGCTGAAATTTTTCAGACAGGAGACCAGGAAATTTTTCTATTATACAGCATTGACATTTTAAAATTTACTCTTCAACTTTCTTATTTAGCATTGCCCTGTTTCTACCGTGTTTCTCATATAATAAGGCCGGGTCTTATTTTTTTTTGAGCCCTGAAAAAATGGCTAGGCTGTCTTTTTGGGGGGTGACTTAATTCCCCCCCTTGCATCTTCGGGCGGGCAGCGACGGCTTGGATGTTGACCTCGGTGTTGGTGGGGCACTTCGTATCGGGGTCAACGCAGGCAGCACCATATCCGGGTGTGCAACAAAAGTACTTCCTAATGGCAAGCCCCCCCACCATTCCCCCCATTTTGCATGTTTTAATATAGGCCTTAATTTGGGGGGCGGGGCTTAATTTCATTTCATGCCTATAAAACATGCTGGGACTTCCTATTGGGGGAGGCCATATTGTTGGAGAAACAGGGTAGAATACCTATAAATTGAGGGAAAATACTTGGGGAAAATGTTTATTGGAGGACAAAGTAATGCCTGATACAATTTTGAACCAATCTTCAAATTAAACTATTAGTAAAAGAACAGATCAGGGATAGATTACATGTGATGCGGTTAGGAGTTGACTTGATGGCACAAAATCAATCATCAATTATTTAAATTCAAGCATACAATATAATACAGAGCCTGATCTTGAGCTGAATAATCCTATCATTCACATTTGGTGAAAGTGAAAATTCTGGTTAATTTAAATCCTGCTTTTTTTCCCCAACTAAATGTAAGGCCTGGAAGAAGGAAGTACAAGTCCAAAAACCATATGTTAGTATACATTATAATGCAATTATATATTACAAAACATGTTGGCTATACCAGTGGTCACCAACCAGTGGGCCGTGGTCGATGAGAAAATGTTGGTCCACAAAGAAATGCCACCCCAAAGCACACCCCCAAAGCAATTAATCCAGGATGCAGGGGAACACAAGGCTGCTCTGCCCACATGGCCCGGGATCACAAGGCTTGTGTCGCTTGCATTAGGAACAACACGAGGTAGTGAGGGGAGGGGGAAAAGGGGGAACTTGCCTGGCCACCGGGTTGCTTCTTCCGCTTCTTTCATCTACCGCTTTTGGCTGCACACAAGGAAAGCAGCAAAAGCCTTTATTTCTCTCCCCCAAACTCCACCAGAAATGAGTCTTTGCAAGGCATCCTGCTCCAAGAGACTGCACCAGCAAAGACTCATTTCTGGCGGAGTTTGGGGGGAGAGAAAGGCTTCTGCTGTTTTCCTTGTGTGCAGCCTGAGAACGGAGCTCAAAACAGACTAGGAATGGGGCTGCCCTGGAGGGGGTGGGGGTGTATGAGGAAGAGAGAGAAAGAAAATCACCAGTACTCATCTCTTTCCCCTTCCCCAAGAACGGAGCTCAAAGCAGGCTAGAAATGGGGCTGCCTTGGAGGGGGTTGGGGGGGGGTGAGGGATCTGTGTGTGTGAGAGAGAGGGGGGGAGAGGGGGAGAGGGGGAGAGAGAGAGAGAGAGAGAGAGAGAGAGAGAGAGAGAGAGAGAGAATGAGAATCACCAGCCCTCTAAGGTGAGTTAATCTCTCTCTCTCTCTCTTTCTCCCTCCCACCAATGTCAGCAAGCCACCTCAGTCAAAATTCACATTAGTGGTCTGCGGGATTTAAAATAATGAGTTTGGTGATCCCCGAGGTCCAAAAGGTTGGCGACCCCTGGGCTATACAACAGTTATCTAACCATGAGAGCCAGTGGACAAGGAAGTATATATAAAATGCGGTAATCCTTAGACTGGCAAAAATTGTGAATAACAATATTCTAAATAAAGAGTTAAGTTAAGGCAGAAGTCTGCTCATCAAATCTACTTCTGTGGGTCTGGAGATTATAGTTTGCCCCCCCCCCCCCCCGAGGCTAATGTTGGTCCCCTGTAGAAATCATTGATAGATCCTACTCTAATGGATAGTTTTGTCTTCAATCTGTCCTTATTGCAGAACTGTTGGTTGTGCCGTAGTTCCAGAAGATCTTGGAGGAAATAGTTTATCTGGACCCCTTTCGGTCAGGATTCATGCACACAAATGGGACAAAAATAGCACTGGTCCCACTTTTTTATTATATATAGAAGGAGCACGAAGAGGTAATGTGCTTATCTCTGCTCTGCTTGACCTCTCAGCTGCTTTTGATACCATGAACCATGGTAAATTTATGAAAGAGCTTTGGGATTGGGAAGCTTAACTCTCTTCTTCAAGGCTGTTTCCAATCAGTGTCAGTTGGGAACAAGATATCTAAACCTCAGCCCCTGCTTTGCAAAGTCACTCAAACGTGGATGCTTTCTATACCCCTGATTAACATATATATGAAATCACTGGGTGAGATCATTGGGATGAAATATCATCAATATGCTGATGATACTCAGTTGTACATCTCTATACATGGTGAATTAAGCAATGCTGTGACTGTCCTTTCTTGTTGCCTGGAGGCTGTAGAGTTGTGGATAGAGAACAATAGGTTAAAACCAAACTTTGGCAAGCTGCAGTGACTTTGGGTTCAAGGTTCCTTTTTTATTGGAGTATTACACTTTAACCCTGATAACAAAATTAAATCAGGAAAGAAAATTTTGATCTTTACTGATTACTGTACAAAATATACTATGTAAAATAGATCAGGAACAAGATAACACATACTAACTGTAAAAGACTGTGACGGAAAGTTATAAATATTAGTTGCAAAATTATTTTTCAATCACTACCATAATTGAAAATGGTCACTATCTGAAGCAGTCATTAAATGAGGACTACCTGTATAGACAAGTGTATAAGAGAGGCACATTTTCAAACATAACATCTTCAAGATATTTAGGAATTCATTGGTTAAATACTATGAATTAAATTTGGTATTACAGTTGCTTCCATACACTTTGCAAAATTAGATTTACATGGAACTATACATCACTTGTTTAAACAGCATTTCTAACAACTTATTACGGTATTTTTATTGCTTGTTCTATTTTACTGAAGTGCACTTTAGAAGTGCATAAAAAGGATAAACGAAATATTCCAATCTCAAAACATCTGATTTCTCCTTTATAGAGTTGGTCAGCATAGAAGTTTAATTATTATCATCATCTATGTAGTTCAAGAATGTCTCCTCAAGAAATTTCAAGATACCTTGGATGATATCATAGCAACCACACCAGAAGCAATTAGGTGGTTAGCTTCTATAGATATCAAATTATAACATCTATACCATTGCAATTCTATGACTCCATATTATGGTATTTTATTTGGTTTTATCTTAATATTTTATATTCTGTACTACATTGTGTGTGTGTGTGTGTGTGTGTGTGTGTGCGCTGACACTTTATTTAAACTAAATTTGTGTAAGTCACTGCATGATTTCTGAGATGCCATATGCTAAATAAGTATCTATGGGGACTCTAAAATAGAATTTATAGATTTATATCCCTTTTCCAAAAAATGAGAAATGTCTTTTCCCCAAAAGATAAAAATATTGTCTTACCTTAAGGAGATTTGTCAAGTAATTCTTCAGAAATTCTTTAAGTCGTTTGTACAATTCTAAGCCAACAAACTGAGCTCCTCCAGGTGTTTGGCCTTTTTTAGATTTAGAAGTGGTTACACCAGCTCCTCGGGCTTGATTAGACTGATGTACACTAGTGCAGTAGTTATAAACATGACTGATGGAAGAATTAAGGATATGTTGTATGCTATATATTACAATTAAACAATAAATACTGAATGAACACTTTCATAATATATATGCATCCTCAATACCATATCACTGAAATTAGACCACCAAATCAGCTAATTCATACCCCACTAATTCAACAAGAATTCTATAATTCTTATTATATTCTTTGTAACAGTTGTTATCAATATTCTTATACCATTAAAGCAAATGATGAGGATGAACAATGGCCCAGATGAGAGTTCATAGCAGAGGTATAAACCTGGAACTCCTGATTCATAAATTACAATATAGCCAATTTAGACTGATTATTTGAGAGAAGTTTCTGAACAATAAGTTGTACAAATTATATTGGAAATCACATTATGTCAAGGGTGTTTTTTGTCTTGCAATTGGTAACTTTCTAATTCTACTCTTTGCATGATTACCAATAAGCAACATCTTTAAGTATGACTGCCATATAAATTTAGTTTTGTAATTGTTTTTAATTGTTTTCATGACTGTTCACCACCCAGAATCACTTGCCCAACTGGGACAAGTGATGATATGATAACAGAAATGAAATGATAGAAGATGTTAAAGTTATAGGAACCTTGGCGGGGGCGGGGGGAGTGATCATGCAATATTTGGAATTCAACATTATCCAAGCACAAGCAATAGAGCAAAGTCAAACCAGAATCTTAGGACTTTAAGAGAGCTGATTTCAATAAACTTAGAGAACTTGTGAAAGATTCTATGAATATGAATCCCCAAGGGAAAAACAAACCCAAGAAGCTTGGGCAATTTTGAAAAATGAGATTATAAAAGTCCAGTCTAATATAATTTCAATGAAGAAAAATAACTGCTCAAAAGAAACCAGTATGGTTGCACTAAGAACTCTGAGAAATTGAAAAACAGAAAGTATAAAAAGCAGAAAGAGGGTCACATAACTAATGCAGAATATCAGCAAATAATCCAAGCCTGCAAAGACGAAGTCAGGAAAACTACGTCTCAAAATGAACTAAGGCTTGCAACAAAAGTAAAAAAATAACAAAAAGTTACTTTCATGTAAAAAACAAGGGACAAAGTCAAGGAAATGATTGGTCCATTAATAGAAGAAAATGGCAAGAGGTGAAGAGCAACAAGGAGAAAGCAGAACTGCTTAACTTATTTGTTGCATCTGTTTTTCATACAAAAGGAAAAAACAACCCAACTATCAAAAACAGCACCATAAAAAAACAGATTAGGAATACAAGTTAAAATAGGCAACAAAATGGTAAGAGAGTACCTGTCCACCCTAGATGAGTTCAAATCAGCAGGACAGGTGGATTACATCCCAAGGTTCTGAGGGAACTGACAGACATGATCTCAGAACTACTGAACATATCTTTCAAAGATCCTGGTGCACTGGGGAACTATCAGAGGACTGGAAAAGAGCAGATGTAGTTCCCATCTTTAAAAAAGGGGGAAAATGGATCTAGGAAACTGGACCTCTCAGTCTTACAATACCTGGGAAGGTTCTGGAAAAGATAATCAAGCAACGAATCTGCAAACACCTAGAGGCAAACAAAGTCAAATGAAAACCGAGGATGGGTTTGTCAAAAAAAGATGTTAGATAAATCTTACTGCATTCTTTGATAAAGTGACAAAATTAGTGTACCAGAGAAATGCTGTGGATATAATTTACTTGGACTTCAGTAAAGCATTCAATAAAGTAGACCACAATCTACTACTTCATAAGATAGAAAAATGTGGGTTAGACACCATCACCAGCAGATGGATTTGTAGCTGGCTGACAAACCACACTCAACATGTAGTCCTTAATAGAATTACATCTATATGGAGGGAAGTATGCAATAGGGTATCTCAAGACTCTCTGTCTTAGGTCCAGTACTCTTCAACATATTCCCCAATGATTTAGATGAGGGGATAGATGGGGAACTCATCAAATTTGCAGACAACACCAAGGTGGCAGGAATAGCAAACACTTTACAAGATAGGCTTAAGATACAGAAGGTTCTTGACAGACTTAAACATTGGGCACTATCCAACAAAATGAAATTCAATGGTGGAATAAAAAGGTTCTATAATTAGGCATGAAAAACCAAATGCACAGGTATAATATAGGTGGCACATAGTTTAATAGTAGTAATTGTGAGAGTGATCTTGGAGTCATGATGAACAATCATTTAAATATGAGCCAGCAGTGTGCTACAGCTGCCAAACAAAGCCAATATAGTTATAGGATGCATTAACAGAGGGATAGAATAAAAATCATATGAAGTGTTAATAACACTTTATAGTGCCTTGGTAAAACCACACTTGGAATATTGCAACCAGTTTTGGTTGCCATGATGAAAAAGATATTGAGACTAGAAAGAGTGCAGAGAAGAGCAACAATGATGATTAGGGGACTGGAGGCTAAAACATATAAAGAACGATTGCTGGAATTGGCAATGCCTAGGTTAATAAAAAGGGATGACATGATAGCAGTGTTCCAATATCTAAGTAGCTGCCACAAAGAGGAGGGAGTCAACCTATACTGCAAAGCACCTGAAGGCAGGACAAGAATCAATTGATGAAAACTAATCAAGGAGAGAAGCAACCTAGAACTAAGGAGAAATTTCCTGACAGTTAGAACAATTAATCAGTGGAATAACTTGCCTCCAGAAGTTGTGAATGCTCCAACACTGAAAGGTTTAGAGAAGAGATTGGACAATCACTTGTCTGAAATGGTATAGGGCTTCTGGCCTGAGCAGAGGGTTGGACTAGAAAACTGCCAACATCCCTTCCAACTGTGTTATTCTGTATTTTGTATTCTGGGCAGCTACAGAATCTAATTAATTAGATATACAAATAACAAAGGCCAACAAAACATATACATGATGCATTTTGCAGTGGGAAGCAAAAGTGGATTGTACTGAAAAAGAGTATCACCTCACAAGAACCTGATTGATCCCTCCTATAACAACACACTGCAGATACTTATACCAACATCCACCCCTACTCACCACAACATTCTGTAGAAAGCATGCAGTGGTAGCCAAAATCAGACAGTAGTAATGCATTTAAAAAGTTAATATCCCAAAGCTCACATTGCTTCAGTTATGAAACAGAGTTAGAGTATGATGATGAAACCATTAAAGCCACTTATTTAGGAATACTTGTTAGGATACGTATAGAGTTCCATATATCTGGACTTTGCCATACTTTGTCTTGTATAAACTTGTTGAATGCCAGCTCTTAGGTCATCCCATATCTGATCAAGACCAATCTGTTTAAGTCCATGAGGATTCTGACTCCTATTTGACGACATTTTGAATTTTCTGCAAAGTCTTCCAGTGTAGCAGTGAGAAATCTAGTTAATCCTCCATCAGAGGTAGAAATAAATCAACATTACAAATTCTATCAGTCTTCAGAAAAAAATGTTTTATATGAAGGCTGTTATTGTTTCACAATAAACTCTGTAAGGAAGGAAAAAAAGAAAACAGATGTTTATTCAATTGAGAACTTAAATTTAGTAATAGCTAAAAAAAAGCCTTCATAAAACTGTAACATCATATGTGAATAAACCATGAGAGATTTACAAAAGGTTTTATTATAGTCATTTCTATTCTTTCTTAGCTTCTTTATTATTATGTAAAGGGGACCATAAATATTCAGGCTCGCCACATTCTAGCAACCAGAATGGAGGTAGTATAGATAAGGGGGGGGGGGTATTTTAGCTAGGTGAAATTTTTTTCCCGTGGGAAACAGAGTGTGTGTCTGCCACTGCCTGGAGGTGGAGTTTGGAGTCATCAGACAGATGAACTGTGACCTGATTGGAGAATGTGACTATCGGGAAAAGTTTCAAACTTATGCTTTTACTGGGTATAATTCCGGGATCTGATCATATCCAGAACTACACCAAACCTTACCAATTTGATATGTTCCTATTAAAAAGACTTTGTTTGGAAAATGGCTGGGTTCTTTATGGGGACATATTACTTGGAAATTTGGCATTATTCCGTATCTGCATTAAAAAGAACCCAGGATGGGATTGCTATCCAGCTCCTGAGCCCTGGTTTACTCACTCAGGCAGCAGCGAAGATTATGGGAAGATGGAGAAGAAATGGAAAGCCAAGGAGCCTGGCTACAAGTGCAAGCTTTGTGGGGGGGCCTGCCAGAAGCTACCAATCCCAAGGGAGACTGCAAGTGACCGCTGTGGTTGAGGACATCACACGCCAGATAGAAACCTGTCCTAAGTCCCCAGTCAACTAAGCCACCGGAGGGGAGATCCAGCTGATGGAGAGGGACCTGCTTGGCCAAGCAACACTCCCCAGCCCACTAACTGGTCACTCCTTAACTGCATCGAGGGAGTCATGAGCAACGATCTTAGAGTGGAAAATGTCAGGACCCATTGACCTGGAAGAAGTTTCAGAGTGGCAGTACTAGATGGCAATCTGCAGCCAGATGTTCAATGGCCTACCAGATCAACTTGAGCAGCTCACCCTCGGCCACAAAATGAGAAATCAACCACCATGGCAGATACCTCCTAGGAACAACCGAGCTACTCAAACGTCCAGACCTTCAACCAGGGGCTTCACACACTTACTGGGGGAAATAAGTCCTCCCAGGAGAGGCCAGTCTACCGTCAGAGATCTACTGATCAATCGCTTGCTGCTGCGCCTGGCCCACAGGAAAGTGGGACGAAGAGGAAGCCCACAAAGACATCACCGAGGCACCAGCCCACCTCCTCAGCCACATCTCCCTCTGGCAGACCAGATACCCCAAGGTGGCCATTCTACCCAGGCAGGGAATGGGTTCAGGACCATGCCCAAATAGTCCCAACCCCAGTGCCAGCTCCACTGCCACAGCAGCCGGCTGCGTGAGCCAATGTCCCACCATCATTCAAGACAATGTTTGGTGGAACAGCCGGAAAACTCGCTTTCTTCTTGAGCCAAGCCTGGTCCTACATTGACCACTATGGAGAGGAGTTCCATGAGAACAGAGAAACTGTCTCCATCCCAGGAGATAATTTAGAAGACGACATGCCCGATTGGTTCACCCAGCTCCATGATGAACTGGACAATGTGGATAATTTCCTTCATGAACTTCGGGCCCACTTCAAGGATTCCTCCCGAGTACAAGAGGAGGGGCAAAGATTAAACTCATCTGGTAAAAGGGTCGCCCACTTAAAGAAGTTGTACCAGAGTTCCTGAACGGATCTTAATGCACTACTTCAAAGAGTGAATCAATGAGGAACTATTAAAAATACGCGTCTGCCGGGGAATGCCCGATGATTGTATTCTCGAGTGGTACAGAGTTGCAACAGCGATGAGACAACAAGCTAAGGGAACATCGTAGGACAGAGCCAGAGAAACAGCCCTGGAGGCAACTTGGCCACTGCATCACCCTGCACCAAAATGTGGAGTGTCCAAAGCCAGCTGCTGCCACCTCCATCAAGTGTTTCCACTGTGGGCAACAGGGCCATCAGGTCTCCGAGTACTTAGCACCAGTTCTGGTTCCTCAAGTGAGAGCATCCGCTCCATCCAGAGCAAGGAGACCAGTCGAAAACAGAAAATTTTCCTGCCAAGCCATGGAGATCTCCTCCCCCCATCCATAGGGGAGGGAGGAACTCCGGCTTCAGGATTGCCACCATACGAGACACTGACAGCAAGGAAGATGATCCGATGGTGAGTGAAGCCATCTAACCTTTCATAATCCATAAAAAAATTAACGGTGACTAGGATAGGGACAAAAACAATATCATAGATACAGGCTGCACATGCTGCCTTATCAGCCCATCCACTGTGGATAGATTAGGCATTGACACGAAACCACTAAGAACCCCCATTCGGTTTGAACAGGTAGATGGGATTGTGATATGGGGTTGCCCTGCCACCCTCATCATCGAAGAACTAAAATAGAGATGGAAAGCATTGAGAATTGATTTGCTTTATACTGACAAATGGCAAAAATGACAAGAGTTGGCCATTTGGGCCTTACTTGGCTAGACAAATGGTGCCCTACCATCACCTGGGAGGGGGCTATCGCAAAATCAAATTAGCGTTCAGCCCCAAACTGTCTCCTGATGCTCCAATGAGCCAAATTGTTGTTGTTCTCCAGGAGCCTGTGCAGATGGCAGCGGAATCGAACAGTGGGGAAGAATGGGGATCAGTCCAGGAGTCTAGAGAGGACTCAGATGAGGGTCCTGTGCCCAATGCAGAGATGGGGCACAGACCATCTGGGAGTGGGGTGCTGCCTCTGGAGCCTTGGAGTCTGGCAGCAGCGAGGCAGAGGACTCAAGGGAGCCTGTTCCCAGTGCATGTGTGTGCAGAGCTGCTAGAAGACAAGAGCAGTTGAAACAAAAGGGGCAACTCAGAAGTAAGGCTGGGAGGTGATTGCCCCTCCCATAAGGTATAAAGGACAGGCAAAAATGACAAAACCTTTACAGGAAGCAAAGTCGTTCATTTGATTCATTCTTGAAGCTCTGTACTTTGGTTGGTTTTTGTTCTAGTTTATTTGATACTTCTGTTATTGGCAGCACTTCACAGGAATGAAAGATAGAGGCTTATCCTGAGGGACTGTTTGAGATTCATTACCAACTGGGAATGAAAATAATTCCCAGCATTGCAATAAAAGACTTGTTTTTAAAATAAGCATGTGCGTAATTACGGTCTTGGGAAATCTTGGTCAGAACACAAATAGCCCACAAAAGCTCACAGAAAATCGGAAGCAACTCATGGCCACGCCAACAGAATAGCCCCCAGGGATTCCATTGATCCCAAAGGCTTACATAGACTTGAAGTGTTTAGTGAGAAAGATTGCAATGTATTACCACTCACCGACCCACAGACTGTGCTACTGAATTTGTAGAGAGGGATAAACTACCCAAACCAAAAATGTATTCCATGACTCCCAAAGAAGTGAAGGAACTAAGGGAATAGATTGACACCAACCTGGCCGGGGTATCAAAGAACCAGCTAAATCCAGAGTAGCTGCTCCCATATTATTAAAAAAAGAAAGATGGAGGGATGCGATTATGTGTGGACTTTAAAGGAATAATGCTGTGGGTGTACACAACATCTATCCCTTACTCCTCATGAAAGACATGCTAGGACATTTGGCTAAAGGAAATGTATTCACCAAATTAGACCTCCGAGAAGCGTGCTACCGAGTCCGCATCAAAGAAGGGAATGAGTAGGCAGTTTCCAATTCAGAGTAATGCCTTTTGGATTACAAGGAGCCCCCAGTCTTCATGCAGCTGATAAACGAGGTGCTGCATAAGCCATTTTATCACAAATTTTATCTAAACACTGATGGATCAAAATTAAGGGTTAAACAATGATGTATATTCATAACATCTAATATACCGTTTATGCTTTTTAACTGCAACATTTAGAGAGTATCAGGCTACCATTCCCCACCAAAAACAACTATTGAATAAAAATATTTTAAACCATTTTTCAATTATATTTTATGCTTACAGGAAAATTTGACATTTAGTTTTGCCTATTACATTAGTTGCTGCTTAGACCTTGTTTTTCAGTACTGCCTCTTTCAATAAATATTCCAATACAAAGAACTTGCAAAGAATTAGTCCCTAATATTTGCTTTAATGTTTCTTCCATTGCTTTCAAAGTTTTAGGTTTTAGGCCTCCGGCTTGAACTGGATGCTTTTTACTTTTTGTAGAGTGCCTAGAAAATATTAGTACTACATAAATAATCAATTCCAAAATTCTATTTAAAGTACCTGTACTACAAAGATGACCAAAATAGATGAGACTGAAATGATAATAAAGAAAATAGCAGGAATTGAAACTCCATGGCATGTAAATGAACACCAGTTGGGTTTTGAACTGAATGGAGCTTGCACCATTGTGCCCTGTCAGCTTTCTGTCTGGGATTCCTGGTGCACGCTGCTCCATGACCCTAGAGAAAGGTTGGGCTGCCATTTCCCACATTTGACCTTTTGTATGGGAATGGGGTGGGGGGTGGCTGCTTCATGCCAGACTTTGGAGCTTCTTGGAATTTTAGGTATAGAAGGTGGATGAGGATAGAAAGGTGGATGAAGAGAGTTACAGTACCTCTGTGTTTGATTTTAAGGGCAAAAAAAATGTCAAGTGACCATATTTTCATCATCTGATCCCATGGGAAATGCAAAGGCTGTAACTTTTGAGTGCAGGCTGCAAGTCCCTTTGTTCTGCACTGTCATAATTTTGAATGATTGTGAATGAATTGTTATAAAATGAGGACTGTCTATAGTTCCAAGTCATCTGCATTAATTACTGCCAAAACCTGGTTCAAGCATAGCCAACTTTCATCATATAGTGCATATGCTTTCCCTCAAAGAATCCAAAATCTAAGTCAGTGGTGAGACCCACCACTCCACGCGCACCACGCGTATCTGTGCATCTGTGCACGTCTTCTGTGCTATCGCCTGCGCATATGCGCCAGATACCCGACAATCAGCTGGTGGACG